AAACATTGGGGGGATGGAAGAGACCGATCACACAAACGGCGACAAATATAGACGTGCACACGACTGAGACGATGCAACAAATCAAGTTGTTGGCTAGTCAGGAGTAACTACTTTCCACCAAACAAAGGCCAACAAGGTCGAACCAAACAGCAACCACGACAGCTCGCCAGCCAAACGATACTGGAAAGCCAAGGCTGCGTGAATTCAGGGCTGTCCTGTAGAGTATCTGCGGAAAAAGAAAAAACAACAACCTAGAGGTGGGAAACCAACGACAAAAAGAAACATGTGGGGGTTGATCAAAAGGACTATTACATGGGATGACCATTGGGGAAAACCACAAAGAATAATAGTTCCCACATGGGAAAGTTACCGATGGTCGTTTGGGGGGTCAAACATAGAGATCAACCCCCATGTGGTTTTAACATGTTTTAACCAGTAGAACGGCAAACTTCGGCACACCTTAGAGGCGCAATCCCCATGTGATATCGCAGTCAAGGGTTCGGATCCCATGCTGGGTTCTTTGGTTAGCAATCACGGTCCCAGAGAAAACACGAAACAAACGCCACATCCCCCCTTTGTGGCTTCTGTTTGGTGCCTTCATGGATGGAATCTGCTTGCTCAGAAGAATGATCACAATTTGCTGGCTACGGCACAAAGGAGTTGCTTTTTGCCTTCACCGTATCCCCGGCTTGCTCTTTTGGTTCCTTCATTTTCCCTTTCACCCGTTTTTCCCGCAACCCCAACATCAACTTTAGCGAACTCGCTCCGGAGCAAACCCTTTTTGGTTTCTCCTTGGGCGATTTCCGGGTGTCCGACCATGCCTTTCAGCTCTGAGGCATCCGACTCGTCCCGGAAAACGTCATCCGCCTACGAAGTCAGGGGCCCAAACCCTCCACGTCCTACGCCCCCCAAAACCGCTGGTTTCCTCCAAATGCCGAGCGAGACATGGCCGTTCGCAAGAACCATACATAGTTCTTGCACCCGATGAGCCCATCTGTGGGAACTAGGGAGGTTGTAGAGCCTGCATCCTATGAGAAAGCCCGCTTGCATCCAGCGATCCATTTGGAGCACGGGGACCGCTCGCTTTTCGGGACATTTCACATGTTTAGAGACAAGACCCCAACAGTTTACGCGTTGGTCGCGTCTAAAGAGCAGTCATGTACAGGTTAAGAAAGTTTTGACGGCCCCCAAGCCACGATGCCCCGGCCGACATGGGGTACATATCCTTCGCACAGTTTCTGCATGCGGTCATACATTTCATCTTGTGTGGTAGTTTTAGGGGGGAATTGCCTAATTCACAAGGTTGAATGTATAATCGGAAGTCTGGACACGCGTCCTCTGGATTTTGCGGGTTCCCCCAGATAAGCGTGCCTTCTCAAGGGCTGGCATGTTGGTTTGTCAGCCTTGGCTCTGGCCTGATACTTTTAGGCATTACCAGTTCAGAGGCATCACCAGCATCAAAGGCATAACCAGCATCAGCAGCAGCACAGGCATCACCAGCAGCCATGGATGCGGATTTGCACGTCACACATCGCCAAACAAAACAGACTCATATTTTTTCCGGGCCTTCTCCGGATTTTGCGGGCCTTCTCCGGTTTTGCGGGCCTTCTCCGGTTTTGCGGGCCTTCTCCGGGTTTGCGTGCTCCCCCAACCTCTGCGTGCTCGCTCATTTTTTTTCAAAAACAAATAACAAGTTGAGAAGGCACTGTCCACTTGGGAAAAGCCTATGGCCAAAAATGAGGTACTTTACAGTAAAAACGCACATCGGCTTTTCTCCGGTGTATCGTACCTTCTCAGTTTTTGTTTTTTCCCGGGCGGTTCCCCCAAGCTGGTTCTGCGTCGCCCTGATCGGATCCCCTGTTTGATTTCTTGGGGATCCTAGCTGGTTTTTGACCACAGGGAAAAAATCAGGGTTCCATTTCCAGTCCCAGGGGCCCAGATTGCTTGTGAAACAGCGCCTAAAGAAAGAGTACTCAGCGCGTTGAACCTTCGTGTGAGGGGGGGACAGCTGGGAAAGCAATCATCAAGTAAATTTATGTCTGGGTGTAGCGCCCTTTAGAGCGGTTCCAAGAATTGAGAAGGCATGGTCCCCTGGAGAAGCCTCGGGGATGGGGGTCCAGACCCTCGATATAAAACCAATGATAGCAACCCTCGGCGTGAACCGACCTGGTACTAACCAGCCGAGGAAGGCCATCAACGGAAAATACACTAAGCAGCGTGAACAAATGCCAGAGGTGCCGACAGAACACGCACGCAGCACTTGAATGCCTCAAGTATCTCAAAGTCTTCAGACATGACAAAGACCCAGTTGCACCTTAGGGACCCAGAAAAAAACGATTCACCTTTTGGGGCCATGACTACACATGGGGGACATTCCTTAAAAAACTGGTGGTTGTATAAACCCCTTTGATCAAATGGTGGTTTGAACCTCAGGGTGTGAAGAGCAGCATGAGGCGGAACCCTTCATTCTGAGCGCGGTCGTGATTCAGCTGTACAGCATGCAAACTTCGTCATTAGATGATACAAAAGGCCCAGCCAGCGGGGTGCATTCCATAGCCCTCATGTGGTCAATTGCCCTCCCACCAATTAACATGGAAGGTTCCATGTGAAAAGGGTGGGAGGCTACCCTTTGTACTCTACCAAGCTGGGACGAACAAACTAGGCACATAGATTTGCTCTGGGCCGAAGCCCCGGAATGGCAGCTGGCGAGCGCGTGTCGAGAGTCGAATTTTATGCAATCGGTGCCTGGTGCCGGTCCGGGTGTGCAGTTTGGTTGGGGCTTTACATCTCTGATGGCCAACTTTTTGTGCTTCAACGCTTCTGTTCAAACACATCTTTTGCCCCACAAAGAACCAAAGCCTTCCAAGACCCAGCTCAGACCCCGCCAAAACAACTACGTGCAGGAGTATTGATTCGTTCGCGGAGCCACCGTGCCATGTCTGCAGGCGGCTGCCATTGAGCGCCCGTCACCTTCTCCAGCGCTGCGTTCAGCTCTTGCTCTTGATCTGTCGGAATGTGCTCCCTCAGGACCTGAGAGAAGATGGTTTGCCGGATAGCTTGCGGGGGCTCCTTGGGCAAAAGGGCGAGATATGCCCTCAATAAAATGTATAGCTCTCTTTTTATGTGTGCCTATATTTATAAATAAATAAATAAATAAATATATATATATATATATGTATATGTATGTATAAAAGCGGTGACAGAGCGGGCCATTGACTTTCTGGGGGTAGTCCTGGGGGTAGAAACCAATCGTGAGCTCCAAGAACCCCCCACAAATTCACGCGGAAGCCAACTCCCACGTCCGTTTCCTGAACAGAGATTCCAACCATTATTTGCTTAAGCCCCCTGGCAAAAAATAAATTGTATCCAGTAGAGATAGATCCCCCTTGAAACCAACAGAACAGGGGACAATAAACACTATTCTTACGCAAATGGAAGTTCCATGCTGATCAGGGGTACCCTTTCATACATTGGGCTCCCGTATTTACAGAACGAGTCGTCATCATAGGAGGGCTGTAGGCATCGCTCAAAGGCTGACCCTGACCGACAAACGACATGCCGGGCCTTGTGGCGTAGGGTTCCGACAAAGAAGCACTACCCCTTGTGTGTGGAAATGCGGCAGATCTCCCAACATAAACAGAGCCGGACAAGCAAATCGCATGAAGCAGCTAGCAACAAAGGTAGAGACTTCCAAGCAAATCGCGTATTTACGACCACACTTCACTGACATAAATCAGGAATCCAAAGATGGTTTGGCTCAAGTTGGTGGCAAGGCTTCCAACAAATTGGATGTTAAATCCACCAACAAGGGAATATAGCTTGAAACCGACTTACCAGTTTCGCCTCAAGTCTGCAACTGACTCAATTTGGACCCCGCGAATTGCGTTCCTTGCCAAGGGCTGAAGAGAGGTCTTTAAGGTTCCGCGTCGTGTCAGTCTGACGGGACATATTGCTTCAAGTGCTGAAGTTGGTGGTTCGATTCAGCGTCAGCAAGGTGGAGGATTAACCTGAAAGTGAAAAAGCGCGGTTTTCGTTTAAAGGAGAATCTTCTGTTGGAAAATGAACATGACATTCCATGCCAATTTGCAGTCATTGGTTGCTTGGTTCGAACTCGGTGGAGGGTTCCGTGCATGTCCATTAAACATAACACCACAGGACCTTACATGCGCAGAAGGTGACATTTGCGGACCACCGAAAAGGAAAAAAGGTGCACGAGGAGCCCTGCAAAAGGCACTTCTTCACCTCTTTTGGGAGCCCGGAAAAAGATACAGCGCAAATCAAGTTGCTTGTTTGGACTTGGCATTGCATGTTCTTTTTCTTCTAACCAGCCTTTTGGAGACTAAAGGGGAACGATATTTTTTGGGGCAAGGATCGCAAGCGCGCTTTTCTTTTTGGGGCCCCAAATTCGGGTCGCCCGAAAAATCTCAAAGTATCCCACTACCCAGAGCCATTTCTGGTCTCAAAACGAGCCGGGGGCCACAAAATGAGACGTATGGATACAGTATATGTTCGGGCAAGTATATGCCCCAAAGTCCTTTTCGGGGCCCGACTGATCTGGCCCCCTGCAAATTTGTGTTGTCCTTGTTTTACCTGGGCTGTCCTCAGACCCAAATGTTTAACTTTTAAATGGAACTCCCCACTAAAAAGGATCTCAAATTATCTTGAAAGATCTAAACATATCTAAGGATTCGGATGGCTGCGAACCCAAGTTACCCCCGGTGTCCCTCAAAAAATAAATAAAACAGCCGCCCTCCGCTCCAAACCTCAAAAAGTGACTCCAGCAAGAATTCACCATGGCAAGTGAATTTAAACCCAAATCAAAAACCACCCCCAGACGCCCAGCAAACGCCCCCAGACGCGCCAGACCTCCGAGCCGATTTTGTTTTGATTTCAGGTCCCAGGCGCCGCATTGCAAGAGGCCAGCCAGGTGAGCTCCTGGCTGAGGCAGTTGATGCCCTGCACCAGCTCCGCGGTCTCCTGGCCCTCCGTGGGAAGTTGCTTCATCGCCTCTGGGGAGATCGCCTGAAGCGCCAAAACCGAGGAAAAGAAAAAACACAAATGGCGCGTTTGGGGTTTGGATGTTGATTTGCCGAAGGGGGGAGGGAGGGAGGGAAAGAGGAGGGGCGGGGAGGGGAGGGGAGGGGAGGGGAGGGGAGGGGAGGGGAGGGGAAGGGGGGGAGGGGGGTGGATGCCGTATGTTTGGGGGGCTTGCTTTATCTGGGGGTGGTGGGGATTTTCGTGGGAGGATTCCTGCAGTTGTTTAGTTTTTTATGGGTGGGGTTGCCGGGAAAATTGGGTGAGTTGCATTGGACATCACATGGCGAATTTGCATCGCATTCCCATGTGTCAAAATATGTAAAACAAATAGCCCCGCACCCCCCCCCCCCCCCCGCCAAAAAAAGCTTCAATGTGTGTTTGTTGTGTCCCTCAATCTTGCCAACCAATTTCACCCATCGACGGGGTTTGGAACACATCCTTGAAACATCTTTCCGCGATAACAGAGTGGATCATCCCTATCACTACTTTGCCACTTAAAGCAGCGGTCCCTTGGTTTAGAAAACCTGGCCCAAATCCGGGGTGCATGAGAAACATGTCTTCACACTGTGGCCTACATTCCGTTTCGACTACACTAAACCATGGGTTCATATGGCCATGGGGCAAAATCCCATACCCCCAGTGAACATCCCAATCCCCACTAAATAGCTTCTAAAATGGGTGGTGAATTCACCTACCAACCAAAACGGGATCCATCATTGGGATTGACCCACAGCTATTTTAATACTGGACGAAATCCATTTCGCACCACCTGAGAAACCATGGTTGAAACTATAATTTGTTGTCATTTACAGGAGAATCATCAAAAGCCAGGGTTTCTTAGGTGGTGCCTAAGAGGATTTCTTTCATCCACAGTATTGGAGAAAATGGCCTTCTTGACATCCATAGCCCAGCTATGACCTGCTGGGACTTCTCAACCATTTCCATCGCAAGATTTGTCTAAGGACTTGCCTCCCGTGTGGCTTGGTGCACAGGCTCCAAGAAGCTTCCGGTGCGTTCCCCGTCATTTTGTGATGGAAGGGTGGTATTTTGGAGGTCTGCAGGGTTGTGTGTGTACCCCAAATTGGAACACTGGCAAAGGCCATCCGAATTTGCCATGGGCCCATGACCATCCCCGCTATCTCTGAGTCCGGGCCACACATAAAGTGGCAAGAAGGGTACTTGCATAGGTGGAGCATAGAAAACTCAGAAACCAAACATTCATTCATGCCCCTTGCGGGTTCCTTGGGTCATAACATGCCATCCCCGCCCCGTTGAGGGAACCCATGCTCGGGGGTCCAGGGGCTGGCGCTTGGCACGCCACGGTCTAAGCCTGAAGAGTTCAACCAGCATTCTGACCTCTTACCAATACTGGGCTGCCCTCAGATCCCCCGCCAAAAGTTGAACACTTTTTATGGGTCAAATGGAAACTACCACTAAACACTAAAAGGCTAAAAAGCTAAGGAACCAAATGGCTGGGAGCCACCAAGAATTTATCATGGACCTTGCAATTGCGCTTCTGAGTTCGCAGTCTTCTCGTCGGCTTCCACACTTCCTGTTCTTTCCGGGCGTGAAGGGATCCAGCTCTTATGACATGACGGCGGACATCACGGTTGCCCTTGGCCAGCAAAGTGTTGTAAGAATGCCTGTTCTTGCGGTCCAAACTCTATTTATCTTGGGGTGAACTAGCAGGTGGTTGGGGTTTGAACCAAGTGTCATATCTCAAGCCTCTTGTTTCATCGGACTAAAAGGAACCAGGCGCCTGTGCAAACCGCAACGTTGCCCACAAATTCCACGCCTCATCCATGTGGCCAGCCATGACTTCATCCATCTGGCTGTGCAGCATGGCGATCTCGTCCCGCTGCGTGGTGATCTCGTCCCGCTGCATTGTGATCTCCTGCAGGCGTTTTGAACAGGGTTGCCGCCACCTTTTCTGTTCAACATGTTTCAAGTCGAAAGACCTCCTTTTCTTGGTTGACGTTGGAAGGGCAGCAAAAAACTGATTTTAGCGGGGTGGTTGGATTTCAACCACTAAACCACCATAAGCAAACATGGGAAACATGTGTCCCAACAACAACCAAGTGTTCACACAACCTTCCTTGGGGTTTCCCCATCAGGCGACGCGGAAATGGTTGTCCGAACATAGTATTCCAACTCGGTCTCTAAGAGCTGCACTGCCTCAAAGGGGAGTTGTAACTTGTGCCGCCTTAGGAGGTACCGAAAAAGGGCCTTTGACAAAGCCACAAGTGAAGGGTGGCAGGTGATCACCTTGCAGGGCCGTGACTTTCACACTGATTCAAAGCCATGGCAAGGCAATGGCAAGCCAAACCGCGAAGCCAGAAGCGACGAATAAGGGGAAAGAACAAATATCCTTAAGCAAATGGAACTAAGACAAGCCGGCAGCGAGCATTGGTGGCCATGGCCAACCAATGGCTCCAAATCAACCTACTACGTAGGCCAAGACTGAATAGGACTACCCCCCTCCCCACACTTCGCCACTGACGCACCAAAGGAAGACCAGGTGAAATTAAAGAAGGGGCCCTCTGCCTGCGGATTCATGTGGGGATGGGGCACTCATGCTGCAGTCAGGGGTTTATCTGGGCACAGTACTGCAATTCGCAAGCCTAACGTCAACATCCCCAAGTGGAGAGCCGTGCTTCTGGGTGAACTCTTTCAAGTCTAAAAGTCTGAGGTAAGCTTGATATCATTTGCCCAACTCGACGTGCCCAAGAATGTCAACTTCTGGCAGATTCCGGACGCTACTTGTCAAAGGAATTCCCTCAAATTGATTCAAATGATCTCCTTACTAAGAGTTGCTTGGACCACCCCCTCATCTGGGTAGCTGTTGCCCCCTGCCCAGGTTAGTGGGAAACTGATCATGTTCACCAAGAAGTTGTAGGCTACAGATCCAAAAGAATGCTGGGAACCCAAATTTGATCAAACGACCCAGGGTCTACCCTTTTGAATGGGACGGCTTGTCTTCACACCACTGTGACCTTCTGACTCTGTTCCGTATATTTTCGTCTACCCAAACATAGAAAACCCGTTGCCGCCCTGCCCTGCGCAGTATCTGTTCGACGCAGCGTTTTGTTTGGGTGGGAAAGAAGGAAGAGAGAGAGAGAGAGAGAGAGAGGGAAAGAGAGAGAGAGGAAAAAAAAAAAACGCGCGCTACAAACCCCAACTAATTAGAAACCCTCCTCGAAAGCCCTCAACGTTTTATAGAAACCCGCAACTAGAACCCCTAAAAGTTAATCTTTACAGAAACCCCCCCCAAGTAGCCAGCCCCTTCGACCCGAAATCGACCGATTCGTTGGCTCCTCCTGTTGGCGCTGGATCTCTTCCCTCAGCTGCGCCTCTTGCTGCTCGTTCCTTGGTTGCTGCAACGACCTCGCTGCAAAAAGTGAGTTTCACTTTTCGGGGGTTTAGTATGGAAAACCCCTTGACTAGGTCGGTAGAATAAGGGTACCCTTTCTGAAGAAGTCTATTTTAGTAGGGGAACCCTCCCCCCAAAGTGCAAAAGGGCACTGGGGGACCTAGCTGATTTCAACCAAGTACAAGTCTAATCATCCGTTACTCGGTTGCAACCTCTGCTCCCCTGCTAAAAGTGAATAACTCTTAGTGGTTTAATACGGAAATCCAATAGTTGGCAAAAAGTTAAAGTCCTAACATCCCTTGGCAAAATGCACCAAAGGTTAATAGCAGTCAAGGTTCTGGCGCAGGTCTTGCTCCAGGCCGGCACGCTTCCGCACCTCGCGGCGCGACGAATCGAGTCGGTGCGGTGATTCGGTTCGATGATTCGAAGGGAGGTGTCGGGTTTTTCTTGGTTCCCATGGGTGAAAACGGAACCCCAAAGGAGAAGGTCACACACACCTCTGTTGGAAAAATGGACTCTCAAATTTGTTGGGGGAATCTCAAAATGTGTATATATATATATAGGGAAATCTCAAATTTGTTGGGAAATCTCGGATTTGTTGGGGGAATCGCAAGTTTATAGGGAATCTCCAAGTTGTGGGCAAATCTACGTAGCTGCAGGACCCCACAGAGCCAGACTGCAGGAATCTCATTGGGGAAATGGACTGGACCCCTCGGAAATGGACGGGTTCCATGTCGAAGGTGCGGAAAAGTGCGTTGGAAAGATTGGGAAGGGGTGAACAGCACCTCGATCGCAGTAACTGTACACTTCGCTGGGGGTTACCCCGTTTGCCTGACCCCAACCACGGGGGCCTTTTTTTCCCATTGCATTCTTGCAGCCAACCCCATGAAGTGAACCAAAGAAGCACATGAATCTGGCATTCTTTGGGACCCGCCCCAAAATGATTGTTATGACCCTTTCTTTACGGGTGTGTTGTCTTTTTAGGGACCCCCTGTTTGGGTGTTTATTAAACGAACACCAAAAGGAAGACACACCCATATTGGTCTTCCGCAGGTTTAATTCTGGTCCACATTTCGTGAACATTAAAAGCAAAAAAAGAAAACACACCAACACATCTCCGATCTTAAGATGCACAACACGCACACACACACACACACACAGCAACACATTTACATATCTCAATTTTCCCGAAGCTCTGCAATAACCACCGAGGGAAGCTCAAACCTCAGCTGGCATGGGAAGCTAAAACACCTTTTGTTTGATCTTGACGGGGTTCCCCGCTCCCAAACATGTTGAACCATGACGGACGTAACCCACTGGAACTCTCGCGGCTTGATGGCTTACTTGAAGGAATCTTCAGTTGTTGGAAAGCACATGGCGCACTTCCAAACAATTTGATGTAACATGTGTTTTTCTCCAGACATTTGGCACACCGGCCCCATGTGGAAAAGCAAGCAAACTAAGTTGTTTTTTGAGTCCCATGGACACACACAGTAGGCTTTGTCCGAAAAAGGCGGAACAACAAAAGCCGCAACACCTTCCATTTGCGGTTGCGCCCCTGGAAAACAAACATGAACATATGCCCAGTAGCGATAGATTCGATTTAAGACAAACAAGGGAACACAACACATCTTGACTTAGCCGCATTATTTATTTATTAAAAAAAAAAAAAAAAAAAAAAAAAAACGCGCAGTTTGAGTGGCTGTTCAGCCCCTCCCGAGCTGCCGGTTTGTGCAACGCGCGCGCGCCTCCTCCATGATTTTCTCCTGGTTCTGCTGCACCATTTGGTTCCTCAGTTCAGTGACCCTGGAAAAAAAGAGGGACCCCTTTTTTGGGCTTGGACCATTTTTAGTGGGGCAGCCACCCAGAAAAAAAGGAAGAAGAAAAAAATACGAAAAAAGAATTGGTGCCACTGCACTGAGGTTCAGCTGCTTGGCTGTAGCCTCGTTCTGCTGCTCCACCAACACACGCTGGCTCTCCCAGGTCCGGTACTTCTGGTCGCACTCCTGGCACTCGCCGAGAAACTCGGTGGCGAAATCTGCGAAGCCCGGCTGAAAGTGAATAACTTTTAGTGGTTTAATACGGAAAACCCAGCAGATGGCAAAAAAATGCAAAAAGTTAAAGTCCCAGCATCCAAGCAACATGCAAAGAAAAAGTGCCAGACGTCTGAAGCTCTTGCCTTCCCAAGCATCGAAGGGGCCCTCAAAAAGGCCCGTTTTGGGATTTCACCTGTCGATGGAGGTGCTAACGCCTTCAACGGAGGGTCCAATGACGCTTAGGGCAGGTTTTGTTGCACCCTTCAAAGGGTTTGTCCTTGGGCTCTAAGGCATGTCCACGTTTACCCATTCAAGTCGCCCCAAAATGCTTGGCGTTTCAGCAGCTAAAACCTTGACAGGTAAGCGCCAGTTACGCAACATGTTGCAACCAATAACCCGAAAGGACGGGGAAGCCCTTTTGCAGCTTGATTTTCCATTCATGGCTGGAATCAAAGGGAAGAAAGGTGCTGCCGCACCTGGGCAGCAGAACGTTGGCCAGGCAAAGTGGCTACCGACTCCCGTTGGGTTAACCCAGATTTCTTTTGGCTGTGGGGTCAAAAATAGGGTAACCCCAAAATGGGTTGCCCTGGTGAATGGAAACATGGACTAAAACCTGCGGTCCCCTAGTGGTTTAATTTTGACCGACACCCTTTTGCCAAAACTGGTCCACCGCAAATTGGACATTTCCAGCACTTGTCTGTTCCCAGTTGCAACCAGGGACCCTGGTAGAAAGGGCCCGTGTAAAGGATTGACACGCAGCCAAGTTGACCTTAAATCCCAACTGAAAAAGAGGACCCTTTAGGCAGTTGACCGTCCTTGGAGGGGAAGGCAGACACCATGCAACATGTTCAAGTGGCTCTCCATATTTGGCTCTGTCAAGATATGGCCAGCATGAACCAAGGAGACACGAACAAGGACGTGTAGCTTGAAGTCGAGTGGCCGGACATGGGGAAAAAAAACCAAGCGAGAGCCAACCCCCCGGATTTTCTCCCACCCAAAACCACCCCAGCCCCAACCCCACTGACTTGTTGAAGAGATCTCCCCAACCCCACCCCCATAACCCCACAACCCCCCCCCCCCAAACTCCTCCCAAACCCCCCACAAACTCCGGGTCTCCTGGACATGCAGGCTCCAGCTCTGCTGCTGCTGCTGCAGCTCCGCAGCCTCCTCGAGCCCGGCATCCGTTTTGGACGTGTCACCCCCATGGAACTCACCCAAAAAACTCGCCAAAAAACCACGCACCAAGAAGACTCAAGGAAACTCCCCAAGGAAACACAGGTGAATTCACACAGGAAATTGGCGCAAAAGGTGAATTCAGAAAGGAAATTTGGCAAAAGGTGATGTTTGAAACCAACTCCTCCAGTTTTATGTATTATATTTTGAAGTAGGCTAAGTATGGAAGGGAGTCTGATGTGTTCCTTTCCACCCCACATGGCCAAGACATCGATGCAAATATCTGCACTTTTGGACAGACTCCGTTGGTACAAAGTGTTCATTGTGCTGAGGGAAATGTATATTGTTTTCTAATGTTGACCCCTGGCGAAATATTAACACCCCCACCCCACTTAGTCGGGCGTCCCTTCACGCAAAGAGCCACTGCGAAAAAGGGTCCCGGAGTAAGAACTGGTGGTTGGTTTATTTGACAAAGGTCAATACTTCTGAGCCTGGCGAATGAAACCTGCGCATGGCGAATCTTCACTTGAGCATGCCAAACCTCAAACGTTTACAGAACGACCGCCACATGTTCGTTCATGTTGTCGTTTCCAACAAACAAGCCGCTGCTTATTTTCTTGGACTTTGGCCGCAACGTCACATCTGCTGGAGATGGTGAGAGTTTTCCTTGGGCAATCCTTCTCTCTCGTTTTCCCAATTGGGTGGTGGGTCAATGGGAACCCCTGAAGTAAAACCCATGGTCGAGTTTGGGTGTGGATGGGGTGGCCACTTTTGGAAGGGCCTTCACCGGTTGACCTTGAACTGTGTGGAGTATTTGTTTTGGTTCTGGTTATTTTGACCTTGAACCTGTACCTTCGAACTCGCTTTGATGAGTCCAACCTTGCACGCGATCAGCAGACCCCGTCCTGCTTCAGCTGCTGCTTCTGCATCACGACCTCCCCTTGTCCTTGCGCGGCAAAATGTGCCCTGTTGCTCCCCGCCCCCCGCCTCACCCTGCTTGCACTGTGGTCGCATGGCCACTTTCAAATTGTGGAGGAAACCTCAGCACCCCACGCACATGAAAGCTTCTTAGAACCTTCTGCGTGGGTAGGACCTGAACACACTCGGTTGCTTTCTGCTCCCCTGCTCAAGTTTAACTTTTAGTGGCTTGATTCGGAAAACCCATTAGTTGGCAAAACGTTAAAGTCCTAACATCCGAGCAAACTGCCACAAAGTATCTTTCTTCTTGATAAAACACCGCCCTTGTTACGAAGTGGTTCGGCAAACAAAGAAACTATGCTCGATCATATGGCGGGGAAGGGGCCTCTGGAGCCTCCCCAGATTTGAGGAAATAGGTCCGACTCCATATCAAGCCTTAAGCCCTATATTAAGTTTTAATAAGGCTCGATAAAGCTTCATCATTCATGATGAGAATGCTCAAAATGGACCCCGTACTATACAGCATAACATATTTCTCCATCTCACTTCCTGAGCTCGGCCAAAAAAGTCTGACATGTCTGTTCCACAACAACCTGGCATTCCCACAAAGTGCAAAGTCCATGAACTCACGGAGTGAGCCATATATGTTACTTTAAATACTAAACCTGTAAAGTGCCCTGATTATGAAACCTGTGTAAGCTGGTCATGTGTGCCAAGGGAATAGGTGCATCCACGGTTGGCCTTAGGCAACCTAAAGGAAGTCAAAAATCAAGGAACACAGAAGGAACCAAACAAAACACCTATGGTGCTTTTTGCTTGGGGATAACCAAAGAAAACACACACGCAGTTTATTTTTCCCAAAAGAAAGACAGGCAGAACACATTTGCCGCCACAGATCCAAGCTTTTGACCCCGATTTGAATCAGTTTGATTGCAGAACTCCTGTCGGTCGGTAGCAGAGGATGATGAACAATGCAAGATGTGCAACTTTCGCCAACTTTCACCCCAAAGCCTCACATTGACACTGGACTACCTGCATTTGCTTAAGTCCCCTGGAAAAATATAAGCATATTTCCAGTAGCGATGGATTCCCTTCAACACTGACAGGGGAAACTAAAAAATATGCTTAACCAAATGGAAGACTAGTGGCGAAGTTCTCCAATGTGATCCGGATCCTCAAGAGCTCATTACATGCGCGTTTGGAACAAAACCAAAAGACTGTGGTTTCAATGAAAAGCTACTAGGTTCTCCACTAGAGAGGTTAGAACAAGGGTTCTGTAGTCTATTTCAGTAGAGGAACCCTCCCCCAAAAAAAAGGGGACCTAGGCTATATCATGGATACCACCTATGTTGGTGGCCTGCCCATTTGGCGACATTCGTTGCAAAGCAACAATTGCTCGGGGTGCTCTTGGATTGGGCGCTCCTCTCCCAAAGCTGACGAGAGACCAGTCATTTTGCCGGCTTCCTCAGTCTGGGTATCCCTACAATGCCGAATTTTGGGATGACCCCATTTGAGTCATAATGAAAACCCGGTACTAAAATGGTCTACCCAGAACCGCGTAAGCAATGAAGAAGGCGGCTGCAGCTAATTCTGGCTGGGTCTTTCCCTGACTAACCTTCATCTACCCGAATCAGTTTTGATTGTGACTCATTTGCGCTTGTCTTCTTTTGTGCTTTGCTGCTGGTAAGGAGAAGCCAAGAAGCGCACCGCCATTCTTGTCAGTCCGAATCCTCGAAAAACCCCACGCTTCCATTTGGTTAAGACCCCTGGAACAAATACACATATGTCCAGTAGTGATAGGCTCCCTTTAAAACCAACCGTGGAAAATGGACACATATTCTTAAGCAAAGTCACTTGCCCAAAGGACCCAGAAATAAAAGGTTAACCTTTTGGGGTCATGACTAAAACTAGACCAAAAAGGAGAAACCAAAAGGTGAAAAGGTCGGCTTTGGGCAACTGAGAGCATGTTGAACGCACAAAAATCTAGACGTCTCTTGCCGTTCTCGCCGGCCTCGCTGCAGTTCCTCCGCGCTCTTCTCCTGGGCCGGAAATGGATCCACCGGGAAAACCGAAAACCCCCCCGGCTTTTGTTGAATCCGTTGGTGGACTCCGCCCAAAGAGGAGTGGCGGAACCAAACGAAGCGAACTTTTTGGCCACCAAAAAGTGACTAAAGTCCAGAAACTCGGAAGTGAGAAGCAAATAGCCCGACTTTCAATTGGATGAGCCACAGTTCTTGGTTGAAACATCTCTAAAAAGGTGGTCGCTCCAGCCCGACACATGGGAGTGTCTTTTTGTTGAAGGGCACTTTACCCTTGTTGGGCTTGGTTTCAATGAACCAAACTCGATCACTTGCCCAAAGGACCTGGAAAAAGGCGTTCGTCTTTTGGGACCTCTACTAAAAGTTGGAACCCGAAAAGGGAAAAGCAAAGGGTCAGTGGGTCGATTCGGTTTGAGCAGCTGAGCACAAGCAAACCAAGCATTTTGGTTGGTGTCAGACCCTCTGCTAACAGTGAATACCTGGGTAAATGGATACCGGACACCCCCACCAAACCCAAAAAAGTCAAATAGACGAAGATCCGGCTGGTAACGGCTGGGAACCGCCGTTGATTTTGGGGTGGCCAATTCCTACTTTAAGACCAAGTCGCCACCTCCATGTGTTTGTGTGTGTCTGTGTGTGTGTGTTTCTGTTGAATTAATCCCCTTAGTAGACGTAATTTAAAGGGGTTGCCAAAAAGGAATCCGAAGCCGTTTTGGGGTGTCCCCGGTTGTAATTGCAAGACACATCTCCAGGGGTACCTTCCCCATTCTTTCCAGGGATCCTTCTTTCCACAAAACCTCCAGAATCCTAGGGAAAACGGATCCGGTTTTGGGGAAGAACGACGGTTGAAAAGAATGGTTGGAATCAACCGCGAGATTCACTCCCCGGGATCCCCGTGGATTTTAGCTGCCGCTGGAAAATTGGACTGGAAAGCGATCAAAAAAAATGGTTCTCCGCCTTTCTCAAGGGCTCACCAAACCGGGAATCCAGCCTCAAGTCAACCTCTTAACAAAGAAGATGATCTAAGATGAGAATTCTTGAGTCGCATGAGGTGGCTTGCATTTCCCCAAGACCAACCCCCAGTGCAAAATGAGGTGCATGCACACTACGCGTCCGACTTCCCAAACCGAACATCCAATCCAAGTCGCCACCTCCAGCAGCCTCGCCTGGAGCTCCTGCTGACGGCTCTTCCTGGGCGATGCCGTGAAGCTGCTTTGGTATCTTGACTGATGCGAGGCCTGGGGTCTCTCTAAGGACCCTTTAAAAATGCTTGGTCAGTACCCAAAAAGGGGCCATGGACCCATTTTATTTTGGGTCATGGAGATTTCAGGATGAATGTTGACCGATGCATGAACCGGTTGAATTTGTAGGGATGGGGGAAAACCCCTCCAAAAGTGGTCTGAATCCCTAAAAAGGGCAGGGGCTAAACAAAAACCCGCTAGGGGACAAAAACTTAGAACCTGCTCCAAGAGACCGGACTAGGGTTAAATCTCCTGCAACCTTTGCAGCAGACTAAGCGGGTTGAACATCTTGTCTACCAGGGCCAGGGAGTACATAATGGCTACAAAATGCATGATGGGTGCATGGGTACATGAGCAGATTTACCAGGGATACTAGGGTTCCTACCTACGTTAACTAAAAAGGCCATCTTCCGTGGTTCACAAAAAGAGGTGAGGTCGGTTGCCGCGGCCATGATCAAAAAAAACGCGCACACACACACACACACACTCTGGTAGTTGCTTTTAAATGGAACCTTCTGCAAAAACAAGTCGAACAAGGGAGAATTCCCAGCCTGACTTCGGGTTAGCAAGCCCTCGTCCTTCCAAATCCTGTGTCTGACAAGCTTGGCAGGAGGAATCCACGGCGTCAAAAAGGTGGATCTGCTAGCCTCTTGGGGGGGCCAAACCTGGCCCCCAAGTTAATACAAATTGATACATTGAATAGATGGCTTTCTGCACTGATAAACCTAAGCGCCGGTTGAAGCAGCCAGGTATTGCCCAAATCCTACCAGAACTACGTTATATATACGGGGGCTGGTCTCCAATTGGGGACCTTTCAAAATCCCTATGGCTGCCCTTTGCATTTGACACCAAAACGATGTATGCCCTCAAAAGAGAGAGAGAGAGAGAGAGAGAGAGAGAGAGAGAGAGAGATAGAGAGAGCAAACTCCCCCACAAAGGGCATCAACCTGCCTCGCGTCGAGGCTGGAACCGAGTACCCCGCAACACCGGGCCGTGTTTGGGGCGGGAGTGTTCTCAACTCCTCAGAAGATTGGCCGAGAGAGGTGCAAACTGCTTGCTTGCCACTCAAAAAGAAAAGCAACAAAAACACACATAGACTGGTGTTCGCCACTCAATTTGTTTCTCCCAAGCAGCAAAGCCCCAAAACACGGACCCCTGTCCAAAGGAACCCGGAGCGCTCGCCAGCGAGTCTGTTGCGTCGCCTCCCCTCCCTCTCGCTTGTCGAGGCTCAGAAGCGCCTCCCGCTGCTCAAGGTCCTTCTCCATGCGAAGCATCTGCTCACTGTTCCTCTCCTGCTTCAAGGTATCTTCCAACTCCTGGCGATTGAAAACCTAACTCCAAAAGGAAAACCGAAATCCATTTTGGGGGGTTGAACACCCAACTCCTTTTGGAGATTGAACCGGGGCGTCATGTTTGCCACCTTTTGTGAGAAAATTGGCGACCCCCCCACCACTACAAGGGGGTCGATCATTTTTCCATCAAAAGTGACAAAAATACCCCCTTGCGATTGAACACCCAACTCCTGTTGGATTGCAAGGAATCCAAAAGAAACACCGACATTCATGTTGGGGGGTCTGGCGATTGATTTACCCTTCCAACTATAGCATATGGAAACTGAAGGAGGGTATTGCAAGCCTACTGGATTCTTCCAACTCCTGTTAAAACGGATTGCAAGGAACATCGAAAAGCAACACCAAAATCTAGTTTGGGGGGTCCCTAAAGAAAAGACACACCCATTTGCTTGCCGGTGTATGACCCTCCCCCTGACAATTATGGAAGCTAAAGGGGGGGTTTGCAAGCCTACTGTATTTTTTGGAAAGCCCCCGGAACCCACTTCCATGATTGTTTCAAAGAGGGTAAGTACATGTCCATGTCCATTTCCCACAAATGAATAGATTAGGTTTGTGCGAGGCTGGCAGCAAACATGCACATTCAACAATTGCCATTTCCACATGTCACCAAAAAAAAGGCAGCTACAGCCGATTCTCCAGTGTTGTTGGGGATTCCAAGGGGTCATGTTCCAAGGAGAATATCCTTTGTATCCAAAAAAGGCCTCCTGCGAAAAAGTTAGTTCTTCCCAAACTAAATGCCACAAATTCAGGAAACCACATTCAAGCAGAATGCTCTTAACCAGATGAAACAATCATTGAAGCTGACTCTGACATAAGCCCGACTTCCATCATTGCCGGAAAGAGAGCCACCAAGAGCGAAAATCTTCAGGAACCCGTGAGTCCACATGACTTTTGTTGAGACACCAAAGGGAATCCATGGGAGTTGTCATGGACAAATATGGCTGGGCACGTAGAAAACACCCAAACCTCCAGCCGTTGGTAAAGCGAGCACCTTCTTGGTAGGATGCTTAAAGGAACTCCCCCAAGAAGGACGGAACAAAGGAAAAGCAACATGCCTCGGTGTACGGCAAGCATGTTTTTTTTTTTCTTGGGACGTTTACGTTTACCCGGTTTCCCCGACCATAAACACGTGAGCCACACAAAGCTGGTTGAGCGGGTTGGAGAAGTCGGATCCCTCGACATCTTCATGTTGACGGGATCCCGTTTCGCGAGGCTTTCTATGCCAAATCGGGGGTTCGGAATGCGGAGGCCCGGTGGAAATTTCCACGGGACATGGTGGAATTGCTCCTGTTGATTGGTTGGGTGGCTGGGTTCTAGAGGGAAAACCCGCACAAGGAACAAAGAATGGAATGAATCCACTGAGCGCAGTCCTGGAAAATTCAGCCTACCCCAAGCTACTACTCCGCTGATGCAAAGCAAGGGCCGCCATTGCAGGCTAGTGACCATTTGCGACTAAACGTTTGTCGGGACCAAGGACCATGGGGCATCCCAATCAATCTGGGTTTGACTTTCATTTTGGACCCCGACTCACTTCCTACTTCCTTTCTTGAGTGGATTGGCGAAAAAAACGTCCAAACGTGTCATTTACCACATTTCAATGGTCCAAACCCAACAAAAAGCATGATGAAGTGCAGGGACTTGGGAAGTGAGCCAAAATGTAAGCAGTGTCCCCTTGGCTATTCTGCAACACCAACAAGGGGTTCCCCGGGAAGCAAGACACACCCTGCATTTTGACATGACATAATTTTGGATGTCCACCAAAATGAATGCCCGCCTAGACAATGTCCACCAAAAGGGCCTTCTTATTGTAACTTCCTTTCTCAAGACACCTTTGCTAATGATAACCCCTCCCAAGAAAAAGAAAAAAGAAAAGAAAGCACGCCACACATACACATACAGACCTGATCTTTCTTGCCCTCTGGTTTTGTGCTTTGGATCAGCCCAAAAGGTCAGCCTTTGATTCCTGGCTCGGTGAGCATCAATTGATACTGGCCAGGGGAACCCCCCGGTTGGTTTTGAAGGACCCCGGAAGAACAAACCCCTGGCTGATCAGGAAGTGTCCGCCTTTAGGGGGGGCTCATCGTTTAAGGGGACACCCCGCTGAATAGTAGGACGGGATTGTTTTGCTCCAGGGTCAACAGTAATATTGAGCACATGGATTCCGTATCACACCGACAAGAGAAATAAACATATGCGTCAGCCTTGGCCAAAAGTGCTTTCAGTTGGTTACGAAAGTCAGACATTTTAACGACTGGACTCATAGCAGGACTCACATCTTGGAGACTCTAAGATGGGTTCTTTAAAAAACACAAATAATCAAACACGAAACAAAGAAGAAAAATACACCAAAAAACAAAGGGGCCGGCGCCTTTTGACGAAACTGCTCGGCAGACGCGGCTCGCTCGCTCTCGGCTAAGCGGCTCGTCGATCAATCGTCTCGCTCCTGGCAGCGCTGCTCCAGGGACTTGGCCCGCGTCTGCGCGGCGAAGAGCTTCTCCTCGAGGTCCCGGCGCTCCTTCCGCAGCTTGAGCTTTCTGCGGTCTTCTCACTTGCCCTTAGGGACCCAGAAATAAAAGGTGGTCACCTTTTGGGGCCATGGCTAAAACTAGACCAAAAAGGAGAAACCAAAAGGTCAAAAGGTCGGCTTTGGGCAACTGAGTTCTGCGTTCTTTGATGCGCCGCGTTCCGTTCTTCCGATCTGCGCTCCACATGAGTCACTTCGCTCAAATGCCCAGTGGATTTGCAGGGGGAGGGGAAGAAAGGGGCATCCTTTTTGGGCGGGTTCGGTTTAAAGGGGGGCCTTCCCCAGAAAAAGAGCAAAAAAAAGGTGGAATCCACTGGGCAACTGGGAACTGGTCTACCCAGAACCGTGTAAAGAATCCAGAAGGCGAATATCCGCAGCGATTTCTGGCCAGGGAATCGTCCCTTACTAAACCTTCTTGGCCAAACTGTGAGGCCGGTTTTGGTTCACAGGGGGGGGGGGCATTGATCAATTAGGCACAGAATCAAACAGAATGTGATCCCGGAGTCATAAACCTTGCGGACTAATTGGGGTGTTTCCTGCGAACATGTTCCGGATTTCCTTCAAACCGAGACACCGCGTTAACATCGACCTGCTGAGACATCAGCCTGATGAGTGATAGAAACCAGCTACTGACAATACTACCGGAAACTGGCCAAACACAAAAACAAACACACACACGCACACACACACACACACACACAAAACACCAGGATTTCCCAGAGGTCATGATTCTCACTGTTTCTGGGTATTATCAAAGTCACAAACTGGTTGGTGGTTTCCCTTTAACCTGCCACTTGGGTGACTTTGATGGAAGAATAATGGGGCCGGTCCATTTGGGTAAGACCCCTGGAAAAAATTAACATATTTCCTTTAATGATAGAGATTCCCTTTAAAACCAAAAGGAGAAAATAAAACAACATATTCATTTTAGCATAATGGAAGTACAGGTTGCTTAGAATTCAGCTTGGGCCTCCCCTCTCCTCCCCTCTCCTCACATCCCAACCCCGTCCTGCACCAAAACCTCGCGCTCCCGGAACCAGGCCTCGCGGTCCTTTGAACCCTTCTCCTGCCGATGCCCCGTTGCCCAAGCCCATGCATTCCAACAGGGAACCACTTCCAAAGTGGCTGGACATGAATACGAATTCGAATCGTCCAAAGGGTCCCCTTGAAGACAAATCAACCCCATATGAGTTGCAATCCAGTGTTGGGTTGGAAAATCTCAAGCCTTGTTGTGCCGGCTTGGTAAGTTATAACTAGGCCCGATTCGGGACCCTGTAAAGGGAAAACACAAAAAGGTGCTAAAACAAACGTGGTCGAGACGTGTTTGAGAAGGTTGGCATGATTACGTGCTTAATCAATCTTAATCACACCCATCGTCAGACAAGAAATCCTCATCATCATGTTTGGGGAAGTGGTGTCTGGATTTTCCGAACCTGTGGAGGCTTGCACCCTTGGATCAATCCGGCTCGACCTGAATCCAACTGGGTGAGCCCTTGGGCGAGCTCGAGATGTTTTTCAAATCGCTGTTTTCTCAAACAGTGCCGAGAATAGTGAATCAGGCATGTTTAAAGGAACCCTGGGCTCAATCCAACTGCTCTTCAGGGGGGTGTTAAAACTGATGGGTCATGGTGTCAACTGATGGTTTCAAGGCTTTGTTTCACCAAGGAAGTCATTTTCCGGGGGGTCCTCTACAGTTGACCGCCCTGTTTGTATGACGCGCAAGTTTCCGAGGACACCTCTTTCAGCGGCTCCTCTACTTTGGCGACCGAACATGAACGGCCCGCGCCTTCAAAGACCTGGTGTCATCCACCTGCTTCTCCAAGCGTTCCTTCCGCCGCCCGTGTCAAGGGTCTCAAGGCAGTGAAAACGAATGAACAAAACCAAGGGAACGAGCCATGGTCAGATTCTCCAAGTGGGACTTATATACTTAAAGTGGGATGCAGAACCCACTTAGAACGGCAAGTCTAGTGAATTCACCCCCGTGGTCAAACTATATGGCGCAAAAAGGCGGCGTTTTAGCTCTAAATGGGCCAAGGGATGGATGATTCTCTTCGTCTCAAACAGACTAGGGGATGGAATCGTGATCCCACAGTGCAGCAGGCCGAAGCGGTGGAGCACAGGAATACCCAGTCGCCCAGTTTTCAGCCCCCCACCCTCCCACCCTTTTCACATGGAACCTGACGTTCAGGACCCGGTCCCTTCAAATGGAACATGGTCCAAACCAGAACCCCCCTGTCAGGTTCCATGTGTGGGAGGATAGGCAACCTGTTGAGTTTCCCCTCTTGAAATCGGTTTGCCCACTTACCTGCAATTGCTAAAATTCCAAAAGCTGAACTAAGAGCTCCCCGAGTAAAGGACCTGCATGATGGTGAGCTCGTGATACCCCCCAGGTGAGCTCGCCATAAAAGAGACAGACTTTTCCGATGAACCGGTTTTTTTCTCGGCAACGGTTCCGGAAGTGCCAGGGTAGCGCCGGTAGCACTAAACGACTGGTTGCAAATAAGCCCATGTCCCCATAGCCCTTTCAGTTGTTGCGGCAATAAACATATTCCCAGCAGTGATAGACTCCTTTTAAAACCAAGCGGGTAACAGTTTCAAAGCATCTTCTCCAGCAACCGCTCACTTCCTGGGTGGATGGGCCTAAAAAAAATACCCAAACTTGTTATTTACCGCACTTCAATGGTCCAACCCAAAAAAGTGACTAGTCCCCCAAACGTGACTCAAGCAGCTGAACTCAGGAAGTGAGACTGGGCCTGTCCTTTTTCCTCTAAACACGCGGCTTCCCCGTGGCCCGGGGGATGCGGGTGGTCTCGGTCCTGGCGCACCTTGAGGTTCCTGGCCTCCTCCACCTTGGCCTTCAGCTTCCGCTCCAGCTCCGAGATCTTCATGTCCTCACGCCCAAAACCCAAGCCATGGATGGCGAAATCCTAGGCACCACCGTTCAGAAGCAATGAAATGGTCTGATTCCCTGTAAATACCAACAAACAGTGGCTTCCCATGTCCGAACGAACCCCCAAAAAAGGGGGTAAAAGGGCACTACTGGGGGACCTTGCGAATATTCAGCCTGCTTGGAAAGCAGGTTCTAGCGACGCTTGTGGATGGGACAGGGGTGAGTTCAAGTTAGTTCACAAATGCGGGTAACCTACTAAGTGACTTGCACACCCATTGTCCTGGGGAAGCCAAAACCCAAACAAAGCAGTTCGAAGGGGACGGTGGTTCAAAACGCCAAAACCAAAACCCTTAAGCATTTCGGTGGTTCATAACACCAAAACCAAACCTGAAGCATTTCAAGGGGCCGGTGGTTCACAATGCCAAAGAAAAAACACAACCAAACTTATATGGGAGGCTTAGTGCTTGAACGGGGTAGGAGAGGACGTCCTCTGCTCAACATGGAACCGACAAAAGTCGCAGAGGGGAATCACCCCTGGACACTTCTTTTTTGGCTTCAGGCAGTCTGGTGTCGATTCCTTTTGTATTGTCACAGCTCATGCTGCCGTCCGGGTTGGAAAGGCGAAAACCTTTGGTGTATCCAAATAGGCTTGTCTCCAAATCGGTCCTAAGAACATGGAAAGCCGGCCCCTCAAAGTATCGAACAGCAAGCTTTTAAGCCAAAATGGGGGGGGGGGGGGGCTCCAAAAAGCAAGCAAACCCAGAATAGTATTCACTGCCCTTCAGAAGGGCGTCTGAGAATAAAGAAGGCCTAGGTGACGTCCCCAACCCGGAACCCTCTGCAACCGAGATGAGTAGTAAGGGAACTGCATCATGAGCTTGTTTCACCCTGTCATAGTCTTGTTGATTTTTCTAGATGTCTGTGCTGGCTCCGGCTCAAGCCTAGACTCGGGTCAACTGCAAATGCACCTTGCAGTGCAAAACGCCACCGCTTGCCCAGCCTTTTGGTGCAGCTCACTCTCAATGAGCACTCCCTGATCCAACTTCGCCTGGCGATCTGAGGGAAATGACGGCCCGCGGGGTTAAGTCCATATTCCAGTCGACGGCGCAAGATGGGTGGGTGTGTGTGTGTGTGTGTTGCTAGGGATCCTCCAAACTTGTGGTTTCCCTCTTCGGTTTCCTTTCAACACCACAAAAAAACACGGACCCATAAATGGTTCTGGTTGATTCCCCATTCAGTTCAAGCTTTGTGCGCAAGCGCTCTCCGTGTTCTTGTCTTTTTGTTTTTTAGCGTAGTCCTGGGGCTGCTTGCTTCCAGGCGCGTAAGGGGACATCCGCCTTTCTCTCCGCTTCACGTGTAATGAGGTTGCTTGCTAAATAATTAGGGACAAATTGAAAACAAAAACACCAATTAGGATAAGCTAAACCGACTGTGGTTTCCTATCTAACGTCCACCAAAACTACTCGTTTCATTCCTCTCCACATACTCCGCATAAATTGAACCAACTCTACAGCCAAAAACAAGATTAAAAACAAAAATGCAACAAGCCCTGGTTGCTGTCGCAATGAATCCAACCCCCCAAAAAACCTCAACTAGGTCCTTCAGTACCCTTTTGTTTCTCTGTAGTCTATTTTAGTAGGGGAACCCTCCCCCAAAAAAGGGGGAGAGCGGTCGGGCACCTAGCTGAAAAACCTAGTCAAGGGCCCAAAACGCGCGCGCGGCACTCGGCGACTCGGCGACTCGGCGGCTAAGCGCCTGGATCTTGCGGCGGGCGTCCGCCTCGCGCTCCAGGCGCTGCTCCATCTCGATGAGCCGCTCCGTGAGGTGCTGCACCTCGGCTTCGGAGGTTCGAAGCCGAGGGCCCGATGGCAGCCCGTGGAAGGCCGTTGGAAGAGCAGCCCTCACACTCACTGCAAAGTGTTTCCAGGAGTTGATCAGGTTTCGCCCCTGGGATCTTGGTATTTTAAGGCAAGAACCTTGACCCCAAGTTCATCAACCCCAGTTGTTTGGGGGGGTGTTCCCCTCCAAAAGTGAAGAATCCCCACGAAAACCAGGCACACCCCCATATTAATAAACAGGGGTTCTCCCAAAGAAGAAAGCAGCCCGGGAATTCTCGGGTGGCCCGCGGCGAGTTTTGGTCACACACCCACTTCCTGAACATAATTTCGGGTGGCCCCTGTTACGCTTTTTTTGGGATTGGTCACTCACTCATTTCCTGAGTGGACATGGAACCTGACTCAGGGGTCCTGAAAGAAGTGTTGTTTTTTTCTATACTCACTTGCCCAGTTAGGACCTGGAAAATCATAGAGGTGATCACCTTTGGGGACCGTCCCGGACCTCGACTCAAAACAACCAAACCAAAAGGGGACACCCAAAAAGGTCAAAAGGTCGGTTTTGGACAAGTTGCTGTGGCTCAAAAAACCGGAATTCCAAATGGAACCCTGGTAAGTGGAAAAATGGACCAAAACCTGCGTAACCTCTCTCTCTCTCTCTCCAGCATCGTCGAGCAGGTCTCGCTCGTCCCAGAGCGTAACCGCCCTGTTTAGTTTTGAGCCACACCCAAGTGAGTACTTCACGGTATCTCGCAACCACTTGCGACTCTATCATGAGAACGCACCCGCTTGTTGTCGGGAAGTGTGTTGGCGTAGTGACAGCCATTGTCGTGACCGCGCGAACAGGTCGGGAAAAACACCCCAGTCACACAAAAGCTCTGATCTCAGATGGATCCCACTGGCAAGAATGGAAGCTGACGCCGGAGGAGTGCCACACGAGCATCATCCAAATTCTGGCCTGCCCAGTTCCATGCTTGAAAATAAAACGTAAATTGTGGCTACTGCCCCTTACGAAATGAGAACCAAACTAGGCACGGCTTGAAATGTGGCGTGTCTCCAAACAAGAATCCGTGGGCGGTTTCTTCGCGGACGTTCCTTAAAAACAACCAGCAAGAAAGGGCACCCTCACCAACCGCCGAGCCGAGCCCCGATTGGCTTTCCCCGCGACTCGCAGACTTCGGTGCCTGGTGCACCTCGATCTCCCGATCGTTCAGGGCCTGGCCATGGCTGGTTGCGCTGGTTGGTGGATTTGCCATTTCGCACCCATCAACTATATACCCAATCTATCAACGAGAGACTGACGTTTTCTCACTGTCTGCCCAAAAAAAAAGTCCAAACTATGTGGCTTTACCACTACAATTTGTCTTTCCAAAAAGCTGAAGTTCATGAACTCAGGAAGTGAGTTTGGGGTCATGGAAGACTATGTCCTTTGTTCTGGACTGGCTTCAGGTTCATAAACTACTCTTCCTCCCAACGATTCCTCTTGGAGGGACCCCCGTCAGTTAGCGGCAGGGGTCTGAACATGTCGCCCTGATGAAAATCATGGAGGTCGATCTCTCTGTTTCTACCACTTTTTTGTTTTTTATTTAAAACAAATAAACATGGTTGGGACCTGTTGCAAATGCAGCGAAGCTCGACCTCCCGTAGCACACCCCTGGTTGCTGAAACGGGGTGTTCGAAGGACCGATTTTGAGGCCCCAAATTCCATCAAGACCCAGAAGGATGTAGTTGACGCCAAACTGCTCCCAACGAGCAAAAAGGAAAGGCATAGGAAACCGATGGTGGGTGGTCAACTGTGGTCAACCCTTGGTTGTTGGTAGGCTTTTGTTGGCCAACGAGCAACCGCGTGAAAACTTAGTAATGGCTTGATTTGTGCAACGTGGCGGCCCAATCCGAATACAAGGAAACACCACAATACCAAGCGGGCGAGCGTCGGATTGGCTTTGAACAGCCTAGACTGTGCCTCCCAAATTCACCAGTGCATATGCCCCAAAAAGGTTCCCAAAGCTTTCGTTTCTGGCTCAAATAGTTTCCATCGCATACCAAGTTGAAACTTGCCGGTCCCCGTTTCAAGCAGTGTTCCCCAGATTCCCTCCAAGTGATAGACTTTGGATTTTGGGATTTGGAGTAATTTTTTGTCCCATCTCAAAACCTGCAAATATCTGAACCCCCCCCCAGCCTGTTCTGGAACCAGGGGATTGCCAATACACAACTCCCATGAAAATGGAATTGGGAGAGGGGTCAGGGGCATCAAAACATCTAAAGCGCGGCTTCGGAAGCCATGGTACGTTTAGCAACTAGCCGACTTTGCAACCACGCGCCCAAAATAAATACAAGCAAACGGCATGACATGGGGTTCTGTAAAAAACAAACATGTGCCCACCAAGGGAAATTGCGAACAAAGGGGTTCCCGGAATGGACTGGGACGCTTCCCTACACATTGTTCAGTCACGAACCCATCAACTTTTGGCTCTCTTTGGACAACTTATACGAAGTGGCCAACTACAGCCTCACCCTCGTTTGTTTTAATGGAAAAGCTGTTTGCTTCTAAACAGTCTCCTCGACGGTTCACTCCAAAGACCAGCCAAGGGCGTGCCTTTTGTTCAGTCTACCCTTTTCCTGCTTGGTTTTAATGGGCCGCCAAAGGGAAGCCCAGCCAACTCTTCAGCTTCCCCATTTGGTGGTTTGGTGGCTAAGGGGTGGTTTCCTATTTGCCTTCCACAAGAACCACCAACCAAAACCACAAAAGATACCTGACGTCTTAGACTCCCCCAAGAAAAAAGAGACCTTAAAAAAAAAGGCCATGGGCACTTTGCCCGGATGGAACGCACTTTGCCACCACAAATCCCTGATCTCCTGGGTTAGGCCATCAAAAGGCGCCTTATCGAGCTCCTTCTTCAAGGCTTCCGTCTCCTCCTTGGCGGCCAGCCGGTTCTCTAAGACGCGGTTCACCTCCTCGACGATCTGCTTCTGCAAGTCGAAGCCCGGCTCTTTGTTCATTTCCTTGGGGAATTTTCGGGTCCCGACGGATCGATCACTCCCAACTCCCAGCCCCCAGACAAAAAAGGTGAGAGCATTTCTGCTCGGGGGAAATGAAGAAACCACGAAAACACAAAACAGGGTTTGGGATGGGAAGCCTAGGCATCCTCAAACACCCTTTTAAGCGGTGGCTTCAAGGGGTCCTCCGCGACTCAAAAGTATTCAAATGTGGCCCAGCCCCCCACCCCACAACCCCACAAAAAAAGGGGAACGACACACATCTTGGAAAATCCCAAAATGGGTGCGGTTTCGGGGACCTCCCCCCCAGATCAAAAAAAAAACTTTAAAGCACTATACGCAAAAAACACACATGATACCCCCAAAAAAGACACACCCATCTAGCGTTTCCACTTTGAAGGGCCCATGACAAGCGTCCTTCAAGGCTTCCTGTGCCGCAGATGAGGGCAAGGAGCTGTCGGAGTTGCCCCGGCGCACCGTTTCCACCTCCACAGGCACCTGAAACCAACGTCCCACACGTGGCTTTTCGTTGGAGGGATATGGCATCCCTCGTAAAACTGCACTATCTATCCCTAGTATCCCAAGTAAACGACGTTCATGGTGTGTGGGTGTGTGTGTGTGTGCTGTGTGTTGCGCTCCTGGAACCCTAAAAGGCCAAATCTAAACGGTCGTCCAGAAGTGGCACGTGTGAGAACGGTCGTTTGCTTCAAACACGGCCGTTTCAAGATTGTTGTGTTGTGTTCTGTTCTGTTCAGTTCTGTTGTGTTGTGTTGTGATATGTTGTGTGTGTGTGTGTGGTGTTGTGTTGTGTTGTGTTGTGTTGCGTTGTGTTGTGTTGTGGTGTGCTGTGCTGTGCTGTGTTGTGTTGTGTTGTGTGTGTGTGTGTTGTGTGTGTTGTGTGTGTATGTGCGTTGTGCTGTGCTGTGTTGTCTTGTGTTGTGTTGTGTGTGTCGTGTTGTGTTGTGTTGTGTTGTGTGTGTGTTGTGTGTGTGTGTGCGTTGTGCTGTGCTGTGCTGTGTTGTCTTGTGTTGTGTTGTGTGTGTGTGTGTGTCGTGTTGTGTTGTGTTGTGTTGTGCTGCGTTGCGTTCTGTTGCGTGGTGCTGTGGTGTGTGTGTGTGTTGTGTTGTGTTGTGTTGTGTTGTGTTGTGTGGTGTTGTGTTGTGATATGTTGTGTGTGTTGTGTTGTGTTGTGTTGTGTTGTGTTGCGTTGTGTTGTGGTGTGCTGTGTTGTGTTGTGTTGTGTGTGTGTTGTGTGTGTGTGCGTTGTGCTGTGCTGTGTTGTCTTGTGTTGTGTTGTGTGTGCGTCGTGTTGTGTTGCGTTGTGTTGTGCTGCGTTGCGTTATGTTGCGTTGTGCTGTGGTGTGTGTGTGTGTGTGGTGTGTTGTGTTGTGTTGTGTTGCGTTGTGTTGTGTTGTGCTTCTGTTTGCGTGTGTGTGTGTGTGTATGTGTGTGCGTGTCTGTTTCTGCGTGTGTGGTGTTGTGTGGTGTTATGTTGTGTTGTGTTTCTGTTTTTGTGTGTGTGTGTGTGCGTGTTTGTTTCTGTGTGTGTGTGTGATGTTGTGTGGTGTTGTGTGTGTGTGTGTGTGTGTGTTTGCGTGTGTTTGTGTGTGTGTGTGTGCTTGTTTGTTTGTGTTTGTGTTTGTGTGTGTGTGTGCGTGGGTGTTTCTGTGTGTGTGCTTGTGTGGTTGTGTGTGTGTGTTTGTGTGTGTGTGCGTGGTTGTGTGTGTGTGTGCTTGTGTGTTTGATTGTTTTGTTTTGTTTTGTGTGTGTTTGTGATTGTGTGTTTGTTTGTTTTGTGTGTGTGTGTGTTTGTTTGTTTGCGTGTTTGTGTTTGTGTGTGTTGTTATTGTGTGTTTGTGCGTGTGTGCGTGTGTGTTTATGTGTGTGGTGTTTGCGTTTGTTTTTTGAGGGTGCCCTTTGTGGGGGCTATTATTGTCGAGGAGCTTTTTCGGGTTGGTGAAAAGGGAAACTGAAGCCTATGCGTGGGGTCCAAATCCCTTTGATGAGCTATAGCCAGGTGACCTCTTTGGGATCTCCTGCCGTCACTTGGATGATTGCTTAGTCTTATATATGAGTCTTATAACTATAGGGCAACTGCGGTTTAGCCCCCTAACCATGGGGTGGGTCAGACTCCACATCTAGTATCACAATAGGCGATTTCTTTTGGAATGGGGCTGCAACTCACTTGGATGATCAACCCACGCAAGTCAAAGGTTGCACCTGGGGGTGGGGACTGCCTTACTTGGATGTTCATAGCAACCATGTCAATTACAATCGCAACTAGTTGTCACCTAGTGCGGGTTGGACATAGGCGGGTGGCCCCTTTATGGCGTGCCCAAAGGACCCAAAATGGATGCATAAGGTTTACCACAGAACCAGTGGCCCCTGAGACCCTGTTTCACACTCTGGAGGGTACCCGTTTCAGGCTTGTAAAGGACAACCAGCAAGTTGTCAGGCTGGTGTTGGGGTGCCCTCAACTCATAGCAGTGGGAAATGGACCTGGGCCCCTCTTGTGACACCAAAGTAGTTGCTTCCCATTTATCCGTGACAACTTTATGTTGGATTTCCATAGGGCCGCTCACAGAAAGTGGCAGCCTAGAGCCACAAATTCCACAACCGTGGCAGCCCAAATCAAATGTAGCTTTGGTTGTTTACCTTGTCAGGTTTGACAAATGCCCCATGGTTTGGATGGTTTACAGGGGTCATTCCATGTCTCATTCCCTGCCAATCGAACCAGCAAATCGAAAGGGAAGCCAAAAGGAAAGCCTGGAAACTCAAATTCGGTTGCATTCTCCCCTGCTAAAACTTAAAGTTTTAGCGGTTTAATACGGAAAACCAAAATTCGTTGGGATAAAAAATTGAAGTCCTAACACCCCTTGGCAAAATGCACCAAAGAACACCTCGAGCCTCAGCTTCCTGCAGTCGGAGGCGAATCCCCCCCGCCCCCGAGCCCCGCCTGCTTCCCGCTCTCCCGGCGGTCTCTGAACCTCTGCATCGGCGAGGCCATGGGCATTTGGCAGCTGCTGGCGTCGCTGGCCGCCGAGGACATGTGGCCCTGGCCTGAGCTTTCAGCGCCACGCGCCACGCGCCACGCGCCACGCGCCGCAATGCGCGGCACGCGGCGGATACAAGAAAGAAGCCCCATGGATTTTGCCCAAGCACATACAAGTTCAACTTGGGAAACAAAAAGAGAGATTCAACCCTCCCAGACCAGGGCTCCCCACAATTCCCTTTTAAAAACAACAAACAAAAGGGAAATATGGGGACCCCTGCAAACTTCCGTTCATCCCGGGGGGGGGGGGTGCATTTCGGGCGTTTTGTCGTTGCGAGGCGCCGTTCTTCATCGGTGACACCGCGGTGGGCTCGAAGCCTTGCCACTCCAAGCGCCGACCCATTCCGGGGCGGGCGGTCATGGCTTCATCGAAGGCCACCTGCGAGTGCAAGTGCTGGGGGGAGACGGGGGGACGGGGACGGGGATGGCCAAGTAGGGTCAAAGGGAGCCGTGTTGGGACCAGGCGAAAAGCTCCACTTACAAGTTGGACAAAAATAAGGGGCAGGAATCCAGGTCTGGCCTTCGTGCCTCACCTTGGGAAGGAACTGCTCATCCTTCCAGCAGCTTTGCTAGAGCCATGTGTTCAATTTCAAAATGTCACACTCCGCTGAACTGCAGCCTGAAGGAGGTCGGAGGTGTCGGTTTAACAGCGTTTATTACACCCATATGACATGGTCGACATGGTCGTGCACGATCGTCCTACATGAACTGCTCCGCTGTTTCGACTGGCTCATCTTGGTAAAGTCACCCCCAAGTGTTCTGGCGGGGAAAGGAGACAATGACCGCTTTTTTGACAAATCGGCTCGCTTGATCGGGAGCGGAGGGATTGCCAATCCAAATCCGCAACCTGTAGCCGGGCAACACTACAACCAGGCAACCCAATTGTTACCGCCTGGCACAAGGAGAAGGGATGGATCTGCAAATGCTAGCATAATTGTCGAAACAAAATAGTCAGAGAACCTCAAACAAAGTACCTACATCAGTGAACTTATTCTTCCCCTGCAAATCAAAAACTGTCAAATGGATGTTGACCAACCCAGCTTGCTTGCGTCATGAACATGCCCCTGAAGCCGATTCATTGACAGCATCAGTAGCCCACAACCCTCTTCCAAGGCCAAGACATGCTAACGTGTCAAAACAGGAAACCCCCGGAACCCCCCGCCAAGCCCAAGTGGGCCCGCTCAAAGGAACCCTCTTTGGGCTCCCCTTGGTGAGTGCCAAGGACACTTTTCGCGCCGGAGCCTGGGGTTGATCGTGTCCCGGCGTGTGAGGGGCATAGCCTCGCACGCGAGCGAAGAGCGGTGGTTTCCCCGACTCGTCTGGAGGAGTTCCGCATGAAACGCGCACCACGCGCGGCATTTCAATGGTCCACCCAAAACCACAGCGGTTCAATAAAAGCCCACCCAAAAGCATTCAACTAAAATCCTGCGTTGCTTCAGGGGAAGTCTACTCGAAGAGACCATCTGAATTCAGAAAACACCTGAAAACACGAGCAAATACAAACTCACGGGGTTTGAACCTCCGGCGTAGTTCGCTTCCGGGTGGCTCTGTCGCTGCGGCAGGGGCGACAGGTTCCCCGAGCGGTCCCGCTCCGCGCAAAGGTAGGTCACCCGAGGTGGGCTCTGTGCCCGAGCCTTCAACGGGTCCTGCGCTGCACGGACTTTTGGTTGAGGCCCCAGGAAGTGATGCTTCCCCACTCGGGGACGCCCCCTTATTCAACCAGGGGTTTATTTATCTGGGGTTAACATTTGGTTGAGGCGCCAGGACAAAGTAAACATATTTCTAGCAGTGATGAAATCCTTTAAGACCAACAAGGGAAAATGAAAACATATTCTTAAGCAAATGGAGGCAGACAAATGCCACCCGGAAAAACCATAGGTGTCCTTCTAGGGGAAGTAGATGGGTTTCTCTGGGACATAGATTAAACCACCAGGTAAACCAGGGATCGCCACAGCAAAATCACCAAAAAGGACACCTATGTCTAAAACGAAACGCCGTAAAATCTGACAAAAGAACCAACAACGCACACGGGTAATTAACCTAGACCCCCCAGAATCTGTTCTAAGGTTTCGGGGGGCTTACTGTCTTTAACGGCAGGTTTCTGGAAGAAGAATAAAATTGAAAACATGAAGTGCATTCGGCATCCTGGAAAGCATGACTATCATCTCCCAAGAAACGCTTTAACTTTCGGGATCTGTTGAATTTTTTTCTGACGAATCCCAGCTTGAAAGCTTAACGTCGACCTGTTGGCCGCAAAAGATGGCGGGTTCAACGTTCATTGGTGGGGTACTAAACTTGAAGTGGGTATCCGAGAACCCTGCATATCTGTTGGGTGAGGATTCCTGGAAAACCTCTCTGATAGATAATCATGGGGTTAGCAAGGACTATACTCCCAGTTGTGCCCCTGAAAACTCCCAGCCACACATAGTTCATGCGTAGAGCATGGTGGCGATAAGGCCCCCTTGCACATTTTTTGTGGGTGAGTGGGAACTTACACATGTCCAACCAAACAATTCAAGGCCGCAAATCCAACCAAATCGCAACCAAGGTATATTGGTTGTGGCTTTTTTGCGAGAGTATCCCGTTTTCGGTTGTAAAGGGAAGCCAAAAGGAAAACCACAATGGTAGGGTCCGCTATAGGCTATAGGGCTTCTTCAGCTTTCAAAACTGATCCGCCGATCGTTCGTAGGTCAGTTTCCGCTCCTGCAGCACTGGCCCCTTATAGCTGGGAGTGAGGGCGGGCTGCTTCCAAGGCCCTCCTTGCACCATCACCCCCTGCACTTGCCTTGGCTGTGCGCGACTCCCATTTTTCAAGTGTACCCTGTTGACCCGTTCATGGGTTCAAACAAGTGGAGTGAATACACAAATGACTGTCATGCGAAACAAACCTGCTAGGAGCCCCGGTTCTGTCAGGGTCAACGTTCGTCTTCCAGGTTGCTGCATCTGCTGCATGTGCTGCATTCCGATGTCCCTGCGGCGGTCAGGTGACACGGCGCTGATAGACCTCACCGCCGGATTCCTTGCGTACATGGCCATGGTTTTTACGGCACAGTACACTCCGCCCACTTTCCTGACTTTTGAGCCGAAACTGCACAGAATCACGGGCCTTAGGATCGAACACGGGCCGAGGGCGTTCGACATAAAACGCAGGAGTCGGCGTGTCTACAGCCCCTTTGTCTGAAAGCCAACTTCCGAAATCAAACATATTGCTCATCCTTCATTTCATTTATGCTCTAACTTCCAGTTTTCCTGCACATAGATTGATCCTTCTTTCCAAACATCCGCCCAAAAAAAAAAGAAGAACTGGCTTCGTCTTTTCCCGAAATTGTGGACACGTTGACTCGTGTCATCGCAATATCTTTGCCTGCCAACACACTCAAACAGCATGTAATTCCAACGCGTGGAGTTTTGGAATGCATCATTGTCAGGGGCATGCAGCAATGCAAATCAAACACCAACTCATGCACGGACGAATCGAGCATTTGAACACCCAAGCGTCATGGCTACAGGTGCCTGTCGGGTGCCTTTTTTTTGGGACCCCCTAAAACGGTTGGTTATCCTTTGGTTTTTCTGTCAAAAGCAACTAGGTCCTCCAGTAGACGCAGTAGAGAGGGTAGAATAAGGGTACCCTTTTTTATGTAGCCTATTTTAGTAGGTGAACCCTCCCCAAGAAAGGGGGCACTACTGGGGGACCTAGACAAGGTACCCTCAAAGCAGGCAGGGTCAGCTGACAGCTTCGATCCCTGGCATCTCAACCCATCGGCCTCTTCGCAACTCAGCCCTGGCCTCAGAGTCGCAAAACGGGGTCCAATAGGACGCCCTCACAAGAAAACAAGCATGGTGAAAAACCTCTTGGTTTGCGTTGCAACCGTAAAAACGGCCACCCTCAAGACGAACCCACGCACAGGCGAAACATCCGAAACCAAGTCCAACGCGGCAAGTGACACATACCTTGGATGGACGAAATCCCGCACCACCAAAGAAACCGTGGGAAACCACGGTTTGTTGGTATGTGCAGGGAATCAGACCATTCCAGGGCTTCTTAGGTGGCGCAAAATGGATTTCGTCCATCCACAGTATGCCAAGCGTCGCGGCATTACACAAAGCATGCCAGAAGCGAGGTAGTTTGCAACGGCGCCAGTCCTTCTCCCCGTGAGAAAAATCAGCTTCGCAGCAAAAGGGTGGTCTGGTTGTTCGCTGGTTTGGTGGTGAAAAAGGGGTGGTAAACCCCATTTGCCATCTGCAGCCAGTTCAAATCCAAATCCAAACCACTTCCATTTGCTTAAGCCCCCTGGAAAAAGAAACATATTTCTAGTAGTGATAGATTCTGTTTGAAACCAAGAGATGAAAATAATACATATTTGTTTAAGCAAATGGAGGACCACCAATTTAGGCTTTACCTGAAAAGACCCGGGTGCGCTGCCGCAACTCCAACAAAAACGAAGCTCTGACTGACACATGGCACTGGCCAAAGCAAAGTGCTGTTCTAAGATGGTGTCCGCTAGCCCACAAGCCACCCAAGGGAACATGGTATGGCCTTAGTTACTCCATTTTGCTCACTTGCCACTTAGGGACCCAGAAATAAAAGGTGATCACCTTTTGGGGCCATGACTAAAACTAGACCAAAAAGGAGAAACCCACCGACTAACATGGGTTTGTGCACAGACCCCTGTGAAAAGACGACTGTCCTCTTGCAAAGGGAAAGCACTTCCATGTTAGTTGGTGGGAGGATACCCCATGTTGTCTTCCATTTTGCTCACTTGCCCCTTAGGGACCCAGAATTAAAAGGTGATCACCTTTTTGGGCCACTAAAACTAGACCAAAAAGGAGAAACCAAAAGGTCAGAAGGTCGGCTTTGGGCAACTGAGTTTGTCTTGGGGTAGTGGTTTGGGGGTACATGACTCTGGAACTGTGCAGACGGAGCCCGTTAAGGCGCCAGGCTCATTTCTGTGACCAGAACCTTGGTGGGTTTGCTCGTCAGCGGGGCAGCAAGGGACCCCTTGCAGAAAAACCCACAAGGACCATTGCTATGGGTGTTTTCCTGGGGTACGGTTGATTCCCAGGCAGAAGTGCAACTCGGGAACAGACTAGATGGATAGATATGGGATATACATGAGCACACATCCGAACAGATTCATACTGTGGATGGACGAAATGCATTTTGCACCACCTAAGAAACCCTGGAATGATGATTCTCCTGTAAATACCAACAAACGTTATGGCTTCAACCATGGTTTCTTAGGTGGTTGTGACATGGATTTCGCAACCATCCACAGATTCACAGGGGAATCTCCCAGTAATCTTCATCTGCTTGGATTTGCCTCAGCGCCTCTCCAGCCACCAGGAGCGAAGACCCAACTTCGGCCTTCAGCCTTCAGCTTACCCCAAGAACTTCGAACCCTAGGTCCTAGGTGACCCCCAGAAACATAATTTGGATGGCCCTGGTACATGGCATGAAACGCGACTAAACCAGTTCCATCCGCCTTGCCAGAAAATCGGAAAACACCTGGGAACAGCCACGTTTGAAGAGAAAAAACAAGAACATGGTTGAACAGAATCCTAAACGAATCACACACACACACACACCCCGCGCAAGCAGGCGATGTCGTAAATCAAACGAAAACATGCCTTTAAAGCGGTTTTGTTGCCCAATGGTTTTACCTGAACATCAGCCTGTCCTGTGATACCCGTGTAGCATTCGAATCCGTGCATGATACGTATAGACTTCATATTTTTTGGGTAGACATCTTCGTGGCATACAACAAGTGTGGACCTTTTTTGGGCCCTCCACTCGGGAAGTGAGCCTTTAAAGGGGATTCCCTTGGCACGCTGGAGCGATTCCCTCAGCACCGCGCCAGTGGACATCGCCGCTTGGGCGTGATGCAGCGCCTTTGGCAAGGCAACGTCAGGGGCAACGAGGGGCAACGTACCTTCCCCTTCCTTCTTTCCACAAAACCTCCAGAATCCTAAAAAAAAAACGGATCCGGTTTTTGAGAAGAACGACGGTTGAAAAGAATGGTGCTCCTTGAACTGGACAACTTAGGACAAAATCGTTCCCCGCAATTCAAGGGCGCACCAAACGGGGGGTAAAACGAACACAGATCTCATGGACTCACCCCTCCCACTGTGGGTGGAAGACATCCACTTCGCACCACTCGGGATATATGAAACCCTATAAATCATGGGATAAAAAAAACCTACCAACTGGCGCGAAATGGATTTTGTTCATCCACGGTACCAGGTCCCGAACCAGAACCCCTGGCTCAATGCTCCCTCCAGCTCCCTCTTCTTTAAACATTTGGATACCCCCTGCTCCATGTCCGGCTCCCTTCCCAACACCAGCTAGCCTCTGAACATCATGGGAGTACTAGGTTGCTGTTGACCCCCCTGCAAAAAGTGAATCACTTTTTGGGGGTTTAGTGGAAAACCCAACTTGAATTCAACCAAAAAGTTAAAGTCTAAAGATCCAACCCAATAGCAGTCAAGACATGTAAACATACCCCGAAACGAGCGGCAACAAAAAAACATTCTCATACGAGCAGAACTTTGGTTGAAGCCCCCTGTCCCATCCCATATGTGCGACGGTTGATTGCCAAGTTCAGGTGTTTCCTCTGAGTGGCTTGTCAAGCCAAGCATTGCTTTGGCAAACAGGCTGCCTGGCAATGTCTGACAAATCCACGGGCAAACTCTCGCTCAGCGGCAAGACAGAACTCAAGTCTCCAGAAGAAAGACTCCAAAAGGAGACAAACACTGGCAGACTGGGCCAAGCCTGGGTCCGTTGACCCGCGTCCCTGAATGCCTTTTCATGTCCCCAGTCACTATGGGTCTTCACTCCTGCCAACCTCCTTTCTGGATTAGTTGTGTGAATAGCCAAGCAGGCAGCAAGCAAGCCAACCCAACCCAACCAAACCTGACCTCGTTCCGCCCTACCGCCTCCCGCCCACACCAGCAAACTTTCTCTGAGCACTTCGGATCTGTTTTTGGCAAGACGGGCACAATGTGGATAGAAACCTTGCGAAAATCTGTCTTTTCCTGGCGCCATCAGACGCACTGAAAATCACAGTGCTCCCGCAGCTGCAGGCCAATCGGTCTGAAGCATAATCGAGCACTGGTTTAAAAAAAAAAACGCGACAAGACGCAAGACGTCCACCACTTGGTGGTGGTTGCAGTGGATAGCCAAGCCAGGTTTGTCGTCAGAGTCTTTTGACCCTTTTGTTGGCTCAAATTGAAAACGTTGTCTGGTGGTGACGGATGGCATTTACCACCGCCTCGGTCTGTGCAAGCTGCAAAGGAGTGTGCCCACGCTCATTTGGAATCTCAGGGTCGGCGCTGGCCTCGAGGAGCATTTCCACCAGTTCAACATCACCGCTCAAGCACGCAAAGCCTCCGCTTTTGCAGGAAAAACGGACTGCAGGGGCCATCTGAACAGGGATCTACAGCAATTGCGGCATTCTTGGAAGGCAACCAATACTGCTCCAACACCATGAGAGTTTCTCAAAAGAGGGCAGCCTGAACAGTTTTTGGTCTCCTTGGGCTTCCCTTCAAAAAAACGAAAAGCATCATGAGCCCCTCCATATAGTTGGCCACCGGAAAAACCCAACTCTGCCTAAAGAAGTCGTCGACCACTCCGCGAAGCAGAGCACGACTCTCGGGACCCTCCGCCCGCCGAGTCTCAGAATGGCCCTGCACGCCAACTCCTCAGCGGAAATCTCCAAGGCTTAATCTTTAAAGTACCTTTTACCACCACGCATGCCCTGGGAACCACGGATTAATAAACACCTGGTTGATTGATGCGGGGTGTCCCCTTTTTGTGAGGATTCATCACTGTTGGAGGGAACACACCCCTTTTAATGGGCGGGTTGTCAAAATTAGTCCTTCAGATGAATCTGCTGGGATGGACACACCGCCTCTTAAGGGAACCTCGCCCTTCATGGCCGCGATGTTTCAATCCAAAAGAGCGTTTGTTCTGTCGGGACATCCTTGTTTCTGGTCGGTATCTGGCCAGTTTGCTGTAGACATTTGCCAGGCTTGCTGGTTTCTACCCAGACCCGTGGCACAAATCATGTCTGAGGCACCCTGGCTCTCCAAATGCCCGAGGCGTGATATTGGCGATTAGCATCTGCCCTCGCATCCAGGAGCATGGCAACCACCTGAATGATTTTTCGACGGAAAACAATGGACCAACAAGTAAGTGGAAGCTGAAAGGTCGAAAGGTCGATTCGCTGCCACTATGAAACATCATGAAATCCGTTTGTCGCAGGATTCACCCATACCCCAGCCGGTGCGAAGTGGGTTTCCATCTACAGTACGCAGCAATTATCCATAGCCTGCAGTTGCATTTCGCCCAATGGCAAAAATGAGAACACCAAGTGGAAGCCCAGAAGGGTGCTTTGGATTGGTTTGGACCTTGGTGGAAACCCAAGATCACCCAAAGCAAGTGACTCAACATCAAATCCAAACCAATCGAAACCGCCACTTCGCTACTTCGAAAGGTGGGGGTCCCATGTCCCTGAGATAAAAATCAACACTAGCCCGGAAGAGACAGAATTGGTCGACCGGCCCAAACGAAAAGGATCTCCCAGGGATTGGTCGCCCCAAAACTGATGTAAGCTGACCAGAGAAAAAAATGTCAACATTTTGGCCCATTGCTACGCTCAAACGACAAGGGAAAAATGATTGAGCGTATTTGGGGTCCTTAGTTGCGCATGAGGGACTGCCGAAACAGTTTGCTCTGCCTTAGAAAAGATCTTGAGGTTATCTGTTTTACGCGAAGTACATGTCCAAAGCTCCAGCTCGAAAATCGCAACTTTGTAGTGCCAGTCTGGTACCCGAAGTCCATTTCCAAAGCTCCAGCTCGAAAATCGCAACTTTGTAGTGCCAGTCTGGTACGCGAAGTAGATTTCCAAAGCTCCAGCTCGAAAATCGCAACTTCATCGGGTCATCGGGTCATCGGTTTTGCGGGGGCTTTGATCCATGCAATTCAACAGTGGCCTTCGTAAGTGTTGACTGCTCACATTGCTCAAAGGGGCGAAATCCAAAGGCACCCGCTTTGGGCTGAGAGAAACAAAGTCCAAAAGTTAGATGGCCAACTCAAGCCAAACACCACACCCTCAAACTAACTGGAAGCCCTGGCTGGACAAAGGCAAGCCCCGCTTTAAAACGGAAAAAAACATCTCGAGGGTTGAAATCCAGCTCTGATCTTGGGAGCCAACACCAAGCTGGAAAACGGTCCTTTCGGCCCGCGGAAACGAGGCCCGAAGCTGCTTTAACGGAGGGCCCCTGATGCTGAAGGTGGCTGCATTTGTGTGATTTGACTGACGCAGGCATCGTTTGAAACGACCTCTGCCTCGGTGCCGTAGGGACTGACGGACTTTGTGAGGGCCACGCTTGCCAGAGGGTGCCCGCTCGCGAAGCCGAGGTTTGTGGGATTCACCTGCGCCAACTTTCCGCAGCATCACCCTTCAAAAGGTAACTCGCTGGTTGTCCAAAAAGTTGTTCGCAAGCCAACCTGGCAATTCTGCCGCGGCGTCCCCAACAAACTTGAGCAGCTTGCGCATGTGTGAGGGAACAGGGCTGGCGCAAAGGGCGGTCAATCAATCGTGGGGAAAATTACCAGCAACAACTGCCCAGAGGGCAAAAAAGACCCTAGGTAGAAACACTAGTGTCAATCATTTCTAAGCCCATTGTCTAACTATACCGCTAAGGGTGGCAGCAAGTGCAGCAAGCGCTGCAAAGCGTGTCACTTGCGTGTCATGCCGTGTCACTCACGTGTCACTCACGTGTCACTCACGTGTCACCCCGTGTCACCTGCATCTCACCCCGTGCCACCTGCGTGTCGCCCCGTGTCGCCTGCGTGTCAGCCCGTCGCCCCAGCGTCGCCCCCGTGTCGCGCCCGTGTCAGTATGCTAGAACAACAGTACATCGCTGCGAACAACAGTAGTTTCGCCCCGTGTCGCCTGCGTGTCACCCAGTGTCACCTGCGTGTCAATCCGTGGGCTTGGGAAGGGGTAGGGATATGAGCTTGGCTTTACTGCTTGGAAAGGAACGGGAAACAACCGTAGATCGGGAATCTACTGTCCTTTCATTGTCGGAACTACTGCTAAATAGAAGGTAGTTACGAAAATAACATGAAAGCAGTAGCCGGAGGGGCTGGGCTTCAAGGAGGCCCCCGCCGGGACTCAGGAACACCTTCGCGTAATTGTGAGATCCGCTGAAAATGTTCACTTTTCATTTTCAGGACCCATAGGCTGTGAAAACGAAGACCCACCCAAAAAGCAGCGTGCAAAAGGCGATGTGCTATCAAAACCAGATTGTAAAACAACCTCCTGTGTTGCTATCCAAGTTGGTGGCGTAAAAGGGCGGGCAGCTGCTTTCTTCAAGCCGGGTCAATTGGCAACCCAGGCGAAAAGGTTTGTGGTACGAAGGAAAAGAAAAAAACACAGCTCGCAACCCACCCGACCTGGGCGCCATGGTGCAGAAGGCGGGCGATCACCGCAGAGGGGGCACCCAGGGAACACGCCCAGGAGATGGGCGGGCAGTTTTCCGGCGCCTTGCTCCAATAGAACAAAAAATCTCAAGAAGAGGGAAGAGGATGTGACTCCAAAGCTTTCTACCCTCCCATCCGCTGGGAGCTAACTGGGGGCTACATTTGCTTCTCGGAACTGTCACGTTGGTGGACGGCAGGTTTCTTTTTGCTTTTGTTTCCCCCCATCACCCACCCAAAAAGGAACTCACTTGGAATCGGCCGAAAGCATCCCCTGCCTTCTGCAGATTCACGTCTGCCCGGTGCTGGATCAAAAGCTCAACTGCGGCCTCCGACCTACAATAGCTCAAGACCTGCATATTGAAAGGGTTGGTGGCATTGCAATCTGCCTTCTGCTCCAAGAGCACAGTAGCTACCTCAAGATTGCGCCCAAGGAACACTGCAAGCATCAGAGGCGACACGGGCAAGTAAATGTACACTTCGTACAGTGCTCCGGCCGATTTGTTCACATCAGATTTCTTTTTGCAGAGCTCGCGCACCATCTCCGCATCGCCAGAAAGAACTGCGCAGGCCAACGGGGTCATAGCCTCACGCCGCACATCCAACGAGTCAAACTTGAAGTCCCTGCGGAAGTCCTCAAGCGTGCGCTTCTGCCAAGGCTTCCCCAGCAGAGTTTCATACCTGGCCATGTAATAGCGAAAAAGGTCCCACTTCTTAGATGCGCGCAAGGAGCGCAGCTTGGCACTGAGAAGCTTCTTGGCAACCAGGCTGACAGGTCTTCGATCCGAGTCATAGGAGAACTCCCCTTCATGTGGTGGGTAGTCAATCCAAAAGAAGGAGGAGGCGAACTGGATGTGATCGGCAGATAAGACAATGACTGCTGGTTTTTTCACGTTGGAGAGCATCTTACACCAAAGTTCAAGTCGGCACCAGCCCCTGCTGCACCAACTGCCTGGGGGCTGTTCGCAGATCCCCTGGTGAAAGTCGAAAAATGTTCCTGGTTTCTAAACCCACTAAAAAAACAAAAGCCTAAGGAACCAGACACCTGGGAGCCGCCAAGCTACTAAAGTTGCAGCTGGCTCCAGTGACGGCGTGCCGGGATTGCGGGGTGAGCACCATGAACATATCCTCCCATGTAAACAAAGAACAAGATTGGGATTTGGCGGCTTCTCCAAATCCGAAAACCAACATCAATCTCAAAATTTGCCAGACCCCCGCAATTTCTCACCATCGAACCAGCTTCGTGTCAAGCATCGGATGTCTCCACATATTCCGGGATGCTCTGGATGAAGTCCTCCTGACTCGCAGCGCTGCAAGTCGGCGAGGCCGTCGACGTCGAGACCGGCGAGACCTCGGAAACCTCCTCATTCGCTACGGAACCGAGCTCCACCTGCTGCGGAACGCTGAGCCAGTCCATCCAAACGTAGGCCTGGAGCAAGGGGGGCGGCTTCAGGCTTAGCCCTTCACCTTCGAATGGTTTTTGATGATGGCCTCTTGCCATGTGTCAAACATGGTGGTCTATGAGTACCAAGAGATGTCTCAAGGGTTAAAGGCAGTCACCAGTGAACCACCGTGCAACTTCTCGCGCAACACACAGGCGGATCACGGGGCTGGCATGCAAAGATGCCATGCGTTTTCGCCAGTGCAGACATCATCGGCCTCCTTCAGGCGGTGAAAATCGCTGAATTGCGGCATGGAGCCATAATACTGGGCCAGGACGTCTGGCAGGATGTCCTTCCCTGCGATGAGCTGCCGCAAAGCAGCCTGAAGGACGGCAAGCTGCTCACCTTTCGGATCTGCATGGGTAACACCCAGCCACTGATGAGACACGAATATGCAGAAGAAGCCCTCCTGGCGGATTGTGTCGAAAGTGGGTCTGCCCGATTTGGTTCAATTGAGCGTCAAGGCGGGCATCCAAAACATGCAAAACGTGTTGTTTTTGGCTTCTTCGCCAAACAAAGCGCGCCTGACGCTGACACAGCAAACCACTGGCAAACAGCTGCTCGTGGCATGGCAGTTCGTCGAACTGAAGGAAGTCGCCAACCTTCACCACCCACATGGGCGCACTGCATCCGTGGTCCGGCCGGCACTGCGAGGCCATCACAAACACATCGGAGTGAGACTGACTGAGGCTGTGAGAAACGGTGGAGAATATGTCAAGTTCTTCCCTTTGATTACTTGAATTCTTTGTTTGACACTCAAATGCTCCAAACCCCCCCCCAAAAAAAACAAAAATGGCTAAAGTCCAAAACGGGACTCAGGCAGTGAGCAACTGCCGCAACTGCCGCAACTCCAGGGACCGTTCTTCACAGCACCTTGGGGTGCAAGCCGACTTGAGCCGATAGTGAACCTTCCGAACCTCCAGGCGCTGACGAAGCTTGTCGAAACGGTCATATAGGATGTGACACAGCAACCATACTAGTTTTTCTAGTTACTGCAAATAAACGAACGAACAAACAAAAACAAACAAACAAACAAACAAACAAACAAACAAACAAACAAACAAAAACAAACGAACAAAAACAAACAAACAAACAAACAAACAAACAAACAAACAAAAACAAACGAACAAAAACAAACAAACAAACAAACAAACAAACAAACAAACAAACAACTGACCTCGTTCCGCTGCCCTACCGCCTCCAGCCCACACCTCCATACTTGCTCTGAGCACTCCGTGCAGCAAAGCACCCCAGGTCGATCCACCATCTGCTTCTGGCAACCCCACTGCCCCGGGCCCACAGACACGAAGCTGATCGACGGTCGACGCCCCTTCGCGGCCCCGAGGGTTCCAAAGACTTGAGCCAAATGCCAGCAGTGAGTCGCTAACGCAACGTCCCGGATGACACTTGCAACACATGATCACCAAAACAAACAACTGGCAAACGGGCAAACCAACTGCTCACAACGGACCCCACCTCCTTGACATCTTTCGGCACCAGCTTCTGCAACCTCAGCCCCAGAGGAGCAGAAAGAGCAGAACCTTCGGGTTGCCATATGCACGGTTGTAATTACTAAGGCTTCCCCTGTCATCCCCCTCGGTTTGTGCGGGATGTAGGGCATCCACTGTCCCTCCCCCAAAAAGGCAAACACCATAGACAAGCTGGTCAGCTTGACTAATCATCAGGTCGAAATTCCTGTGAGTCATGGTCATGGCTCCCTTAAGGCGAACCCGTATTCACAGTTGCCTAAGGTCCTACCCAAGACTGGTGACCATCCGAGTGAAGCCTAAGTCAACGCGTGCTTTGACCATGGCAGAAAGCCAAATGTGCAAAGGTCGGCTTGCTTTTAGTCAGAGGAATCGGCCGGATCTGCCCAACCACCGGGGGGGTGGCTCTGATTGGTGGCTTACGGAGTTGAACCCGATTTGTTTGTGACCTGCGTGAAAATACCACTAGCCCCTAAACTACTGCTTAGTCGGATACTTCCTGGTCCATCTTTGGGCTACACCAAAACCATAGTAGCTGTATGTAGCCGACCCTAAATTCTAAACCGTTTTGGAGGAGACTGTGCTTTGTCCAGCCCAAGCCTGCTTTTTGAATCCCCTATCATGCTTCCCGAGCTGATGATCCAACAAAAAGTCCAAAACATTTCGTTTGCCACTAGAATGGTCTTTCCACAAGTAAAAAGTCTAGGAACTCAGGAAGTGAGAAGACTTGAGGCCCCGGCTTCTTGAACATGGCAACATCTCGGGATATTCAGTCAACTATGCGGTGGGGTAGCGCCAATTCCTTCGGGGCGCGAACAATTGGCCTGGTGTCCTGTAGCCTGAAGTGAACGTGAAGTGCTTGGCAAAAAGTGGGGCCTTGGTCTGCCAATCCTTCAAGGCAAGGCCTCTGAGCTTGAACAAGATTCAACTTGGTTGCTGTTGACCCCCCTGCAAACAAAGTTTATTATTTCCCAACAAGTTAGTCTAAAGATCCAACCCAATAGCTGATCGTTGGCTGCAGGCTTGCAACATAGACATCTAGACTGATCCATATTCTACCTGGTTCTTGCTTGTCGGCTGGCCTGTTGCTTGGTTTGCTGGCTGGAGCTGGGGCGTCGTAAAGTGCTCGCGGGGCTTTCATGCGCGAAATGACGACAGCTGAGCCAAAGTCAATCGGAAGTGGCCTCTTGCCCAGCAAATTTGGTTAATAAATGATATTACAATTGCTTCATACGTATTGCAATCATACATTGTATCTCACGCACATGCACCAATCATATTACAGTATATTGATTGTATGATAATCCTATATATTGAAAGGTAAAAGAGGGACCGGCGGCAACCGCAAAAAGGCGGCTCGGCTGCCGTTTGTATCTTCCATTTGGATCCATCTGAAAGAGCCCCTTCATGTACCCCGCAAGAGCCTGGATGCAACTCTGGTCCCAATTTGCATGGTAAATCCAGCCACCAGGAAGGACGACCAGTTAGAGCATTGTTTTCCAACACAAAGCAAATGTCCAAATGGAACATCCCAAAACCTCAAAAGTTTGCAGGGTTTAAGAAAATAACACATCCATCCAAACAGAATAATGTCTTGAGGTTATCAGCCACCTAAATCACATAGTTTCGCCGCAAAACAACAAACCCGATATTCTAGAGGTTGCCTTTGCCGAGAAACAACAACAAGTATTCTAGAGTTTGTCAACCACCTAAATTAAATGGCTTTGTCGCAACAACACACACACACACCATATTTCTAGGTTGTCAGCCACCAAAATCAAATAGTGTTGCCGATTTGTGTGCATGCAACATATTCTATGGGGCATTATATCCCATGTGGACAAACACCATATTCCATCTATTTCTGTTCAACACTCTGTTTGTTCGTTCCACACTCACTCTCAACACGGATATTGTATCTGATTGTCGGCGACTTTAATTCCGCACCCTCGTCCCTTCCACAGGAACAGAGTTGTGGGGACTGCCCACTGTGATATCACTGGAAGGCCTTCCAAATGCGTCGCATAGTCGAAAATCGAAGATCGTCATGTCGAATCTGAGGGGGAAGTTCCATTTCAGGGGCTCCGTTGTTCTTGGAAACAAACTTGGTTGACGTTGAAAGGGGAGCAACAATTCTCAATTTTTAGCAGTTAAGTGGTTGGACTTCAACCACTAAACCACAATAAGCAAAAATGTAAAATGCTTCCCAACAAGTTTAAGCTTATGTGGATTGATTTGGGGGACTCTCCAAAGGACAAAACAGAACTATGTACCCTTCCTCCCACAAGCCTAGCATCTGTGGGAGGGTACCTGGAAGATCAGTTTCCTCTTAAAGAGTCCGTGTGCCTGTCAGGTGCCATGGCAACGTGGGAGGGTAATTGCACGATCACCAATCATGTTTAGAGGGTTTCCCACTAGATTTTGCCAGTGCCAAGAGTGTGCTCATGCAGGCAGATGGGGCACAAACCCCAAGAAAAAAAACACTTCCTGCGCCGCCTAATCTTCAAAGTTGAATGCAAGACGGTGCTTGTGGATGGACATCCAGGAATGGATCAACTGGTTGATAAACCACCTGCCAGCCAGTGGGCCTGGATGTCAACAAAACGCAAGCCACGCTCGCATTCCGGGAATTCTCATTTCCGGCGTCTGAAACCCCCCGAAGCTCTTCATGGCAGTGCTGGGTTTTTGTTTGAAGCCCCTACGCGAATCATCGCAAGTCAATGCGCTTGCGCCTCCCTATTAAACAATGCCGTGTACGGCTAGGTGAAAATCTATGTGGGCCCCTTCAAAGCCAGTGACATGCCCTTGGACACCTATGTCCTTTTTGGGTTAAAGTACACTACCTGCACGGAACGAAAGTGGCCAATTATCCTCTTAGACTATGTGTGTGTTAGCACCTGACAGGGGCCTGGTCCCTTCAAGAGGAAATTGATCTTCCTGGTACCAATCTACACAGCTACGTTTGTGGGAGGAAGGGTAGTCGTAGGAGGGTCATTTTTCAAATTGCGCTCTGTAGCTTTGCCAGTCTAAGGACCCCTACAGGCGCAAACAAGGACACACCCGCGGCCGCAAGCTGGGAAGATCCCAGTTCCACACTGAAGGTAGGAATCCAAAACAATCAATGATTATCAACGCCATATTTGGGGTACATACCCAAAAAAAGCATCATTGCACAGGGTGCGTACAGGTGGGGTTTATAAATTTCCACTATGTGACTACGGCCTTTTCTCCGCTGCTGACGCAAACCCCATCGAGAACGCCGTGCCTGTCATGCAACTAGCATTCACTTCCCGTCAGCGGCAAGCACATGTTGCACCAACAGTCTTCCAAAGAAATAGCCAAAACAGAATTGTCCTCCAGGACGATGTTGTTGTTGCTTTTTGGGCAGTCCAAAGTAACCCCATCCATGGGAAATGAGGATACGGTCGGTTGGTTGGAAAGAACTTCCATGTCGGCTGAGAATTAAGCACCAATTATGAGTCATGTATGTGTGTGTGTGTGTGTGTGTTTTGTTTTGAGGGTGCCCTGTTTGCGGCTGATCTTAGAGGGAACCAAAAGGAAGCAACATCATTTTGGGGGGCTCGATATTTTGACCCAAACCCATATTGTCAGTCACCCATGTTGCAGTGCAAGTGCCCTCTGGCCTCTGCATAACCCGATTGACCGCACAGCACGAGGCAAAAAACAACATGAAGGAGCCTCGATCAAAACTTTCGCTGGCCCGCATGAAAGTTTTGATCGCTCACAAACTGATGCCAGAGAGGCATCATACGCATTCGAGGTCCGAATCGTCGTCGTCCACCAATCTTGCAGATTGGCGACCCTTGCGTGGTAAGGCCTCGGACGCAACTCTGTCACTCGTCCGGGATAATCACGTTGCTCAGTTGTTCAGTGACCCTGGACAAAATGGGAACCCTTTTTTGGGAAGACCATTTTAGTGGGCCAGCCACAACTGAGGTTGCAGCAATTCTTCCATTGGGGAACGACACATCGAAACCCCTGGTTGTTTGACCAGCCGTGTTGCTTGGTGAATCCCTGGCTAGTGGTTTGAGTTGGTTAGCGGGTTGCCAATTCACTTGCAGCAATGCTTGCTGCTTTGAATTCTTGGTTGACGTTGGAAGGGGAGCAAACAAAAATAGCAGTTCAGTGGTTGGATTCCAACCACTAAACCACAAGAATCAAAAATGCAAAATTTTGGTTGCTTTCTGCTCCCTTGCTAAGCATTGCTTCAAGCAGATCTGAGAAAAGCGGGGGATCAGATGTTTCCCAACAACCATGAATTGGCCTTGAAACTCTGGCTCTTAGACTTGGGAAGGCACCATAGACGCTATTAATCTGAACCCAACAAGCCTCTGCTTAGTCAAGTCGCGGATCCTGCACTTTCTGCAGGAAACACCCCCAAAAGGCAAAACACATCTGACAGGTTCTGGCACTTTCGCTTGGGGATGTGATTTTAATGGAAACCGAAAGGACGCTCTTTCTTTTTTATTCTTCTTCTTTTCTTTTTTTTTGGGGGGGGGGGAGGGGGTCTAAAAAAAACAACAACCCATGTCAAGCTAAATTACAGCATGGCCATGGGAGGGCGATTTGCTGCCATGTTGATGGGGTAGGTTAAAGATCAGCCGCAGTTTCTGACGTTAATAACCCCAACTTGGATCTCCAATTCAGGTTGGAACCATGGCCCAATCACCTTCCCTTTGACTGGTGGTGTGGATTGGTTTGGAGGGTAGGGAGGTGGTTTCCCACCCTCTTTATAACCAGGGCTTCAAATCCAAGCCACCAATCCAAACCACCAACCGAGGTTACCCTCCCACCAATTAACCCGGCGCCTGACGTTCGGGTCCTGGTTTGACCATGTTCCTTTGAAAGGGACCGGGTCCAGAACGTCGAACGGTTCCATGAAAGAAATGGTGAGGGTACCTGAGGCATAATCAAAACCTGGTATTAAAATGATCAACCCCGAACCACGGTTCAAGAATTAAGAAGGCGGCCGCAGCTATTTCGGGTTGGGATTGTCCCTTAACCTTCATCTACCCGGTTTCAACTGTGGCTGGCGGTAGCGGCGCTGTCTATCCTCCAGGGCATTGCCTGGGAGTCACGGAGTGAACCCTAAAAGCGAAAGTAGGGCCACGAGGATGCCGACCTGCGAGGAAAGTTCAGCGACCCTTGCCTCGCAGGCCGCAGGCAAAATAAGTTCAGAATATTGTACTTTGCATGGGGGCATCCGGCGAAGCCTGCCGAGCCTTGTCCAAGGGACCGTGAATCCACATAGCACGCAACGCGGCTCGGAAGGGTCCCAGTCAGCGCAATAACAATGGGAAAGCCCGGGGGCTCCAGCCAGGCGACAAGCCCACCCCGTCATAAGATGTTTCCTTCGACCTATACAAAACCGAAGTCTGCGCACAGAGGAGTTGCCGAGAGCCTCACGCAGTTGCTCAGCGTCCAACCCCGACAAGAAGCCGAGAGGCACTTTCTCAAGGAGAAATTCTCTCAAGAGAACCTTGCAGGCAGCAATACGCTCCGGTACCGAAGTACGAGCATCAAAGTCGATGCAGGGGCGGTCAGGGACCTGATTCAAGCCAGGCAGAACAGGACCCGCTTTCTTATCATTCAGACGTGACCGAACCACCAGAGAGGCAAAAAGCGGCGAATACCTCCAACAAGTGATAGACGTCCCAACTTGATCCATAGTGACGTACAGCTTGCGCAGCGGTTTACCCAACAGAAGGTATTCCTCATTCAAGTTGACAAGAACTTTCAGTCCAACATTGATGCCGTCGTGCCGTGGAAGAAGCAGCCCGAAGGGCATCGTCGGCAGCGGAGGCCAAGATTGACACAGCTCCAACATGTCCGGCTCGGTTTCAGCATCAATTGGGATCCCTTGCATTTTGAGAATACCCATACACAACATACGGATCTTCCACTGGGCCTCGCGAGCAGTCTTGATCTTACGCAGGAAGGGCGCTTTGTCCCCTGCAATAAAGATGAAGAGCAGCAAGGCCTCAATCCAAGTATGCCTCCTCGAGAGGGCTTCGGCTTTGCTTTTGTCAAATATGCACCAGTCAAGCATACCACGAAGAAGGTGGAAGTCTTCAATACAACCACCCCAATACCATAAGTTGGCTTTGACCGCCATCAAGTCAGGGTTGATAGTCAAGAATTATCCCCTCTTAAATACAAAGTGGCTGTGGAAGGGGGAGCTGAGCAGATAGATATCTTCCGAATGAGCGTGCTGTCGATCAGCACGATCAGATTGAACTGGAGCGTGATCAAGCTGAGTATTGTAATCAATTGCACGGAGATCGCGGTGACGGGCTTCCCACTTACCAAGAAGGTCAACCGCTTGTTGTTGAATAGTACCCCATTTAGCCTGGAGCCTAGGGGGGAGGTCTTTGCAGAACACAAGAAGGTGTTGAGAACAGGGGCTCCACTGAGACCAGGATTCCAACCTTCTTCCCACTGACTGCGCAGGTCAGCCCAAAAAGGGCATTCCCAAAACAGGTGCGCCATGGTAGCGTCATGGTGTCTACATTCTCTGCACTCTGGAGTATCAGTGAACTTCTTGACAAATTGCGTGTGGAAGGAGTTAATCCTGTTGATCAGCACTCGAATGAGCTTCTGTTCTTCAGGTAATAAGTGAAGAAGTGCCGTGGTCGTGCCGAAATCGTGGTTGCCGACTCCCTTCCAAAAAGAGGAGTTGCATTGTTCCAACTCAGAGGCAATCTTGTTACGGAAGGAATGACAAAGAGCTTTGCTCATCACTTTGCAATCGCCACTACCAAAGGTCCAGAGCAGCCTACCTTCATTGTTGCTAACTTGCAAGTTGTCAACGTTCAAATGAAGCTGCAAATACTCCAAATCTTTTTTAAGCTGAGAAACAGGGCCAATCTTTTTGATAGAAGGTTGAACCTCCTCCCAAGTCTGAATCACAGCATCTTTGAAGGCGCGCTTCTTGAAGGCGTGATTGTTCCAGAAGAGCAAGTTTCTCCAAACAAAGGAAAACTCAGGGCCCATAAGCAAGTAGTTTTTCTGAAACAGAATTCGGGCCGAAAAGGCCCCAAGCTTTCTCCCATGTGCCGCAGTACGAATAGCTGTGCGAAGCTGCCTGAGCTGCTCCTTGGACGGTCTCAGAGTAGTGCCAGCATATGTAAGCATAGGAATAATGACCGTATGGACAATCATGTTGGTAGTGGCCGCAGGTTGGTTGGCCCTTGCAAGTAGTTGTAGCGCGGTAATAGCTCTGTGTATTTTCTTCTCAAACCAAGTCTTAGAGGAAAAGAGCCCAATAGCAAGGGGAACCCCAAGGTAATCGACCGATTTGACTTCCTTGACAACTTGCCCATCCCGCCAACAAAGCGGTGTGGACTTCTTCACATCACTGATTTGACACGTCTTAATTTGCGTGCGGAAATTACGTAGCGTATCCCAAGCTTCGGTGCGTCCACAGGCATGCTGGAGTTCACTCGAGTCACTTTCCGTGAGAAGAAGCCTATCATCCACATACACATAATTGTACACAGCGCTGTTGAGATCTCTTAACCAAACCGCCAACACAAGGCTAGCAGCAGCCATACTGATAGGGTCACATTGAGGCAACCCGATCGTCCCAAGAACGTGGAAACAAATCTCCTCATGTGCCTGATGGAGTGTATCCAAGTGCCAACTGCCGCCTGATGCAAACCCCATTCGGATAAGGCTTGACAAGCAAGCCCATGTGGGATACAATCGAAGAACTTGACAGTGTCAATTGCCACACCATGGAATGAGAGGTGCGTCTCATTCTGGCATTTCTCAGCCGACAGAGAGGCGTGCAACCAGGCTTGATACCCACTGCGCCGAGGTACACCCCCAATGATGTTCTCAGGGAGGTTTGTCGAAGGAGATTTCTCCGCATTTCAATAGCCACTTGTGGAAAATGCGTAGTGCCGTAACTTCAATAGTGATGGGCCTCATGGCTTCAAGATCAAAGCCAGCGTCACCTTTTGGGATAACCACAAGTTTAGCATTAAGCCAATGCTTGGGAGCCCTTCCACAAATAACGCAAAGCATAAAAAGACTGTGTAGAAAATCCACGCACTTCTGCGGTAGCTTTTTGAAATGCGCATAAGTCCATCCACCTAGCCCTGGCGAGGAGACGCCTTTCCCGTTCCTGAGGATCCGATTAAGGTGTTTGACATTCCACATATCTGCAGGGACTTCGTGGTTGGCGTTGCCCACATCCCAAGACATTTGATCATCATGTTGGTAGACCGCAGCAAAGAAGTCGCGAATGACACCCACCGTCTCTTGAGGAGTCTTGGTCCAACCATCATTTGCTTTGATAAAAGGAGGGGGTTTGCGGGTCGGGGCCCTGACCCATTTGCAAACGTCTCCAATCCACTTGCTCTCCTGGGATTTGTCACTAGGCTGCTGCATTCTCTGCTTCCAAGCTTGTAGTTTATCAAGTGAGGGTTGACCCAGCTCAAGTAGAGCTTCCCGAATCTCTTCATGCTCCTGCGCTTCACTGGATTGCGCAATGAGCTTCCTGTGAAATATCGCCTGCTGCTGGTTTTCCCAATGCATTTTAACTCCCAAACCAGGCACTCTCTTGAAGTCGGTGTGACCGTTCCAGAAACGAAACATAGTGGAGGCAAAGATGGACCAACACATATCCACATCAAACTTTTCATAAGCCGTGCACCATTCATCTTGCAACTCATCCCACACTTCAACATGATTTGCACACTGCTTGTCAATGTGATATCCTTCCACCTGCAAATACTGATGCACCTCAGCATTCCAATTGAGCTTGGTCGAAATGATGGCATGCCCATTGTCGTAGGGGAAGAACGTGATTGG